AACACGATGACTTTACGGTTTCTTTAACGAAGAGTTACCCTTTTTCATAAAAGGCTGAGAAAATCTATACCTGATATGCATCTTCATACTTAGGTTGAACAGGCTGAGGTTCATCGTCTACACCAGGTTTTTCAAGGTCTTCAAGAGTGGCATCCGGATTTGTCTTCCACAATTCCTCTATCTTGTTTATTTGCTGTGCGCTAATTTGGCGTGCCCGCAGCTGTTCCTGCTCTGATGGGACCTGTAAAACAAGAGTTAATAATAGCTCTCACACGATAATGTTTTCAAAAGAAAAAATTCAAGAATACAAACAAACCTTAACAAGCCAGGGGAGGAAACACCTGTCGTCAATCAAGGGACACCACTGACTTAGGTCCCAGTTCATATCCTTGAGGGCATTAACGTTTAAACAAGGATCTCTACAGAGAAGGACGACAACACTGTCTGTCTTTGCTGAGATGAAACCGAGGAGAAAGACATTCCGACACCCACAGTTGTAGCATTCGAGAATTGTTTCCCCTAGCGGACTGTCTCTATGGAGACAAACTTCCTTGTGTTTTGCTCGTACCTTAAAAAAAACAACAGAAGAAAAAATGTTCAAAACAGTGGAATCCCTCGCAGGCCGCAGCCAAAGACTTTCAGAAGCAATCCTATGGCATGGCAACGGTTCAGTAATTCAACCAAACTAGATACATAATACCAACAGCCCTAACCACAACAGAAGAAACTACAACAAGTCCATAAAATGGATTCAGAAAGGAAGGACGAGAAAAACAGATTAAAGAGGCGTCCGTCCACTAACCAGATGATTCACAATATGCGAGCCCGAGGTGTTTCCCCTTGAATTGCAGAACCACTTTCTACAGGAAGCCACGTTACACCTAACCACGCAAGCTGGGTTCGAGATACCACAATACTTACAAGCGTGCTCGGTGAAATCATTCTTACCATAATCAAAACCATCATCATCTCCAGTCTCCTCGAAGTTCAAATTCCCCATACCAGCGGCCAATGCATCAACCTGACTACTACTGCTAACACCAGCACTTCCACCAACTCCACCACGTCCCACTTTGGCACCATTCCCGGCAGAGAGGGAAGAAGGTGACGAAGCCTCTGATTGATGATCCGCGGCAGCTCCTCCTCCACCGCGATCGGAAGCGTCAGCGATAGAAATTGAATCAGAGGGAGTAAGCCATACCGTAGGTGATCGAAACTCAGGGTAATCGAACTCAGAATCACCTTGAGTCTCGAAATCCAAAAAGGTATACGCGTCAGCCACCGCGTCAGGCTGCGATGCCGTGTCAAAAAGATCGTTCTCTTCAGAATCCATAGGAAAAAATCAGGGGCGAAATCGAGTTCCCTGGTTAAGATCGTATCCCTCTTACACTCGTCTCTCCTTCAATCGTTTTTTTTTTCTTCTGTAGTTAGGGTTAGGGTTATGGGATTAAAATCTCTACCGGCCCCCTTCCTCCAATTCTATTCCAATTTTCCCCCTTAATAAAAAAATGAATTTCTTTTTATTTATTTTAATTCAGATAAAAGACAAATAAACTTGATGACATTTAAAACTATCCCTATCGCTAATCTTAGACAATTATCTGATTTAAGTTAAATGCAAAATGTTGATTTACTCTAAGAAACGTCTTTTAATTAAGAGACACAAACTGAGCTAAAAGACAACACGTGTCTTCATTTTACAATCCAACCATAGTTTTGGTCCTTTTTGGATTTTATTTTTTCTTTTGTCACAAAAATTTCAAATCTTTTAAGCATATAGCCATTACACAATATTCAAAAGAATCAAAACATTAACTATCAACTATTACAAGATCTACCAGAAAAGAGAAAACTATTACAAGAAAATATTATCAAACATGAACCTTGACAATCACTAATTGTAACAAGAAGAGCAATGACAAACTAAGTCTTTATTTGATCTTCATAGAGATATGGCTAAGACTTCAGTCTATATCTTAATATGAATCTCAAGTAAGATACAAAATTAATCAAAAATTGTTTGTTTCTTAGACTGTCCCAAGTGTGTATCATTTTGGTTCAAGACCTTCAATACCTTTGACAAGGCGGTACAAACCGCTAGTACATTTGGGAAGCTTGAAGAAGAAGTGAGACTAGCTGATGACGAGGGTGAGAATGGCTTCCTTCTTATCTACAAGGGTTACAAAGCTTGAATCGTGGAAGGCAAGAAGAGGACTTATGCATAATTTTTTCCTTATAGTATTTCTTCTTATTCTTCAATAGTTATTTTTTCTTATTATCCTTTCCTTTTCTTCTTTTTGTTCAATCGCTCTTCTTTGTTTTTTCCACAAAATCTATAGTTTGATGATTGATAATTTACAAGATTACACAATCTTGAATCTGAAATTTTCTACAAATTTTCTTGTTCTACTAATTCAATATTTTATCTACAAATTACCAAAATATATGATAATTAATTATCTTAAATTAATTTTAAATGGTGGAATAAGATTTTTTAAAAAAACTCCAAGATGTTAACTAGTGAAAGTCAGGTTTCCTTTTTCTCCTTGCTTTTTTTGGTCAAGAAAGAAGAGAAGAGGGAGAATAATTCTCACTAGTTTTATTTTCGTAATATATATTTTTCTAAAACAATTTGGATTAAAATTAATATAATTATAAAAAGGGTAAAATATAGTTTTTACATACTACCAATCAATTATCATACTAACACATTTGTCGAAGCTGGAAACCATTCTAGAACCAAATTAACAAGTTCGAAGTTCAGGATCTGTCTAAAGGATAACCAAAATTTTCTTTAATTCCCTTTTTACGCCAGTATATTTATATATAATTAATATCAACAAAACGAAAATAATTAAGAAACAAATTCAAAGCAACCAAAACCATACAAAAAATAGATAAATTACAAAAATAGAAAAAAGAGAATAAACGAAAAACAACCACACGTACGTATAAGGAAATGAAAACCATCCTTTACGTAACCTCTTCTTAGTAACCTCCTAAGCCATGAAATAGATCGTAAAAAACTCTTTCTTCTCCTTCGTTTTTAATTGTTTTTCGACGACAATCGATCGTAGAGAAGTCTACCTCGTAGGCATCTCTCTCAATTCAAAATCAATTCTCATTTGTTTTGTTATTTGATGATGTCGAATATGCAATTCTCTCGTGTAACTAGTCCCTTCGTTCTCCTCTTCTTTATCGTCGTTGTATCGGCTGATGTCGCTATCTTGAGAACGGACTATTACCAAAAGACATGTCCTGATTTCAACAGAATCGTGCGTGAAGCCGTTACAGCCAAACAACTTCAACAACCAACAACAGCTGCCGGGACACTCCGTCTCTTCTTCCATGATTGTTTCCTTGAAGGTTGTGATGCATCCGTCTTGATTGCGACCAACTCGTTTAACAAAGCGGAACGTGATGATGATCTCAACGATTCCCTCCCCGGAGATGCTTTTGACATCGTCGCTCGCATCAAGACAGCTCTCGAGTTGTCTTGTCCTGGTGTAGTGTCTTGCGCAGATATTCTAGCACAGGCCACACGTGACCTTGTCACGATGGTAGGAGGACCTTACTTTGACGTCAAGCTTGGTCGTAAAGATGGACTCGAATCCAAAGCACACAAAGTTCGAGGAAACGTCCCCATGGCAAACCAGACCGTTCATGACATCCACGGGATGTTCAAGAAAAACGGGTTTAGTCTTCGCGAGATGGTAGCGTTAAGCGGCGCTCACACCATCGGATTCTCTCACTGCAAAGAGTTCGCCGACAGGCTCTACGGATCACGAGCCGACAAAGAAATCAACCCAAGATTTGCAGCGGCTCTAAAAGATCTATGCAAAAACCACACCGTCGATGACACAATCGCGGCGTTTAACGACGTGATGACACCTGGAAAATTCGACAACATGTACTTCAAGAACCTAAAGCGAGGGCTAGGGCTTCTAGCTTCCGACCACATCCTTATTAAAGACAATAGCACGAAGCCGTTCGTCGACCTATACGCAACTAACGAGACAGCATTCTTTGAGGATTTCGCACGTGCCATGGAGAAACTCGGCACAGTCGGCGTCAAGGACGATAAACAAGGAGAAGTGAGACGTAGGTGCGACCACTTCAATAATCTCGACGTGTAAGAAGAAAAAAAAAGAAACACATAACCGTATAATAATACTATTTTTTGTTTTTTTATTTTGCGTGGAGAAATGAGAAAAAAGGTTTGGTTGGTATATATGTTTTCTATAACTATGTATTATAAGCAAGATCGTGTAATAATTCAAGATGTGATGTTTAAATTTTCCTAAAATATAGATAAAAATATATTATATACGAACAATTGTAGTTGACATACATTTTATAGTTAAGATTTGATAACATTGCCAAGCCAAGTAAATCTTTACTTTATTAGAATTCCACAACAATGACTTCATAGACCAAATGAAAGAAAATCACAGATTAATAAGTATGTGTTTAATATGATATTATTGATATACTACGTCTCCAAAAGTAAATACAAAATAAATGCTTAGCAAAAAAAAAATGCAAAATAAATGGCATGAAAATGAAAGAGACATAAAGAGTAATGGACTGTGAAATATTTTTAGAGGACTATTGTAGAGGAATGACTAGTCACGCCCCACTAAATTACATGCGTAAATATTTTAATATTGTGCTAATTACTAGTTTGAATAGCAATTTCAATGTAAAATAGCCTTAATATGCCACAAAATTAACAGAATATGATATCAATCAAATTTTATTTTAATTTGGGATATCATCGAAACGTTACAATTACTTCGGTTGTTGTTGTGATGTAACTAAGAGCTTAGCTTTCGGTCCACCGCAATATTGTCGTTAATTATAGCCTATACTGTTTAAGGGGAGTGGCGATGCGTGACGTGAGCCATCTAAGAATAGCATGTGTTTGAATAACTCTTTCTTGTCGGAAAATTTTGGTTGCTTTATAAATTGCTTCATTCTATTCTCTCTAGCTAGTGTTTTTCTTCTCAAACAAACAAAAGAAGATGAAGTTCTTGATTTACCGGGTTGTATTCTTTCTTCTCTTAAATGCTTTCACAGCCAACAGAGTTCCAGATTCTCTAATTCGTGATTCTTGCAAGAAATCTTCTAAACATTCGGAGCCACATTTCTACAAGTTCTGCATCGCATCTATTAGCGAAAACCCGGACAGTCAAAAAGTAAAAAATATCGATGAATTAACTGTTGTAGGAGTGCAAAACGCGATTTCGAACATGACCAACGTTAAAGAAATAGTGGAAAAGATTTTGAAAGAGAGAAACAATAAGAATAAATTGAGTATGCAGATGTTGCGCCAATGCCTTAAGCTTTATTCTCAGGGAAATGACTTGTTAACCAAATCTTTGGAGTACATTAAATTGCGGGATTTCGATAAAGTCCACAATAGTCTTCGTAATGCAAGAGTTGTTCCGAGAGAGTGTGAAATGGGATTCAACGACGATAACAAACAAAAATCTCCGGTGACTAAAGAGAATGATGTTTTATTTGACGTCGTCAACATTGCTCAGTCTTTTAATTACAATGCTCATATAAACCCACACAGAATATAATGTCTTCCCAATAGTCCGTCGGTTATATATATTGTGTAGGTGGTAACGTTTTTTTAGTGAATTATAAAATAATATAATCAATGAAAAATAGTCATAGATTACAACTTTCATGGAGATAAACATGAATTTAAATTGGACATTCTACATATTGTCTCTGTTTGTCACCTTTTCCAAATTTCTGTGACAAAAACACACATCATAAAACAAATTTGTTCAGTCCACAAGAAAAAAGAAAAAAAAGAAAAAACAGTTTTGTTCTTCCCACGCACTTCTCAATTTTTATTAACTAGGGATTCCAAGGCCCAAAAGGCCAAAAAAAAGTAAAAACCACATAGCCCAAAACTGAAACAACAAAAGAAAAAGTTAATTTGAAGTTTCCAAACAGTAGTTTTTTTGTTTTCCTTTTTCAATTCACCCGAACGGTAACATTTTTGACCGTTACTAAGATGAATATGATTAAATAAGCTTTTAATAATAAAAATAATTACGAAACGGTAACATTAATATTAATATTATATTGTTTTCATCTAAACGGTAACTTTAGTCGACCGTTAGAAACCATCGCTATATATATACCATACCCTCTCCAGATACCTTCGTTCACACATTTAAACTTCTCTGCAACTCTTTCTTTATTCCAATATACTCTCTGTTTTGATCTGTTCTACTGCTCATTGCTCTCTGTTTTGATCTGTTCTACTACTCACTGCTCAAGCTCGTCTCTCATGTTCTCCTTTCCCGAGCGACTAGCATAGATAACATCACCCTACAAGGTACCAACATTTTTGGTTTGCATATAGTTTTTTTATGGATGAGAGTTAAAATATTGATTTTGTCGTTTCCAATGGTTTGCATATGTTGAGTTGAAGAATGATAAAGAAGTTTATATAATGGTTTCTAAAACTCTAAGATCTGTTCTTTTTGTTATTTGCTTTTTAGTTAATCTCTTGTTGGTCGTTTATTTGGTAGATGACTCGTAAAATTGTTTCTTAGAAAGTAAAGTACATGGACTTAATTTGATTTGTTGCGTTGATCATTCATTTTAATCATGTTCTGTTTCTTCCTAAGAAAAAATATGTATATTATACATTGAAGTGATTGTTAGAATGTAAATAGAAAAAGATCAACATTCCTTGTTTTTTTACTTAGACAAAATAAGAATTTGCGTAATACAACTCTGGAATGTTCCCTTACTTTTTTTTTCCCGGCATATGTACTTTATTTTTTGGATTAATTTGTAAGAAGTTACTGATTCGGAAAGGAATTTTAATGGATTATTTGATCTCTTATTGCAGATGTTGTTTATGAAGAACACAAAACCCAAATGGAGGAAAGGTCTACATAGGAAAGTGTTTACGGAAGGAAAGGTCTACATAGGAAAGTGTTTACGGAAGGAAAGGTCTACATGGGAAGGTGTTTGAGGACGGAGAGTAATGATGGCGGGACAGAGAAGTCGATATGGACCTTGAGGAAATGTGCCGTACTTTGATTTTGAGTATTAAGATGTGTGAACGAATGCTTGTAAGAGTAATTATATGATGTAATAAGTGTAGTGTCGTGTGACGGACGTATTGGGACGGCTGGTAAAGATGTGAAGTGTCTAGATGAGATAGTGAGGATGTGGATGGTATAGGTTGAATGTGGGTGTATATATGTGAAGTGTCTAGATGAGATAGTTGAGATAGATGTGAAGTGTCTAGATGGTATAGGTAGAATGTGGGTGTATATATAGATGAGTTGAATATCAGAATATGTATTGTATAGGATTTAGATGAATGTGTAGGATGTGATGTGGATGTTATAGGATATGTGGAAGGTGTAGGATATATGGTTGTGTGTGGATGATACGGATGTGTGTCATATTCTACTATCGCAAAGATTTACTGTTATTGTGTTCAGGTACTCGGGTCTGTCCAGTTTTATTATATATTTTCCGGTCTGTCCAATTCTAAAATGTTTATAATTTTGCTTTCTACTCAAAAACTTCTCCATAATTCTAATGATCAGATTTTGTACCCGCTTTAATTTAAAACATTTTCTATCAGTATAAATCTTTGAGCATTCAAATTTTAAATGATAAATCTTTGTAGTTAAACACTAAACTTATTTTTTTAAAGTGATATACAGCTGACGATAATGATTTCTTGAGAAATAGACGATTGAATATATATTACGTGATAATAAAGATGTTAAGAAATTTGCAGGAAGAATAAACGGCATCGACGACCAACTCATGATCCTTTATCACTAAGATAGTTTTTTTTCTTATTTATATTCCATGAAGACATTTCTTTAAAAGTTTTTCCACGTTATTGATGGTTGTTAACCTAATTGTAGATATCATTTATGAATACAAATTAAATGCTGATACGAATATAACATCGTTCTATATAAATTGCGAATATACATAAACATTATTTAGTGTAAATATACATATATAATATCATGTCGCTAGAATACGTAAATAGCGAGCTTGTTATATCCATTAAAGGTGCAATGTGGTATAAGAGAATTTTTGACCATCTGAAAATACTTTATCAATAGTGAATTGATGGGTAAATCCTTGTTGAGATGTGCATAAGACAACACCAATCTTTGAAATAAGTCTATAAACCAAACCAATAATAAGCGTGAATAGAACAAGATCAAATCTGAGCGCACTTGGATCCTTTAATCAAATCTCAAGATCATGATGTCGTATTCGTTTTTTCATCCTTTGTATTGTATAATGCGTTAATGCATGTCCTTTAATTAAAAATATGCACAAACTACAAAATAAAATAGTAATCAAAATTTTAGTTCAATATATCATCAAAACGTTTTAACTAGGATTGTTGTTGTGATGTTTTTGATTCAGCTTTCGGTCCACCGCAGTTGTCGTTAATTATATTATAGGCTATAAGGGAGTGGCGATGCATGACATGAGCCTTCTAAAAATAGCGTGTGTTTGAAAAACACTTCCACATCAATTTTTTTGCTTGCTTATAAATTGGATCACAAGTTATAACTATATAGTCTTAATCTATTCTTTCTTAGTGTTCTGCTTCCCATACAAATTACAAAAAAAAAAAAAGAATGAAAATCTTGATATACCTTGTTGTGTTCTTTCAGCTCTTTAATAGTTTCACAGCCAACAGAGTGACAGATTCCTTGATTCAAGATGCTTGCAAGAAAGCTTCAAAATATGGGGAACCACATTACTACGAGTTCTGCATCGCGTGTATAAGTGAAAATCCAGAGAGCCAAAAAGTGAGAAATATTGATGAATTGACAATATTAGGAGTGAAAATCGCTATTTCAAACATGACGAACCTGAAAGAAGTTGTGGAGAAAATTTTGGAAGAGAGAAATTATAAGAGTAAGTTGAGTGGGAAGCTCTTGCGTGATTGCATTAAGCTTTATTCTGAGGGAAATAACTCATTAACCAAATCTTTAGAGTATATCAAATCGCGGAAATATAAGAAATTCCACACTAGTATTGATAGAGCAAAAACTATTCCGAGAGTTTGCGAAATGGGATTCAATGACGATAATAAACAGAAATCTCCGGTGAAAAAAGACAATGATGTTCTCTATGACATCCTCGACATGGCTCAGAGTTTTAATTTAGATGCCCATTTACAGCCGACTATGTAGAGTGGCTAGCTGAATAGTACATTGGTTTTAGGTGTTGATTCTTTCTTTTGTGTATGTTAAAGAATTTATTAGTGGAACAATATAAGGTCATATATTACAACTTTGATCATGGAGATAAGCATGGATCAAAGATGGACCATTTCAAATCTAGTTTCTTATTTTCACCTTTTTCTAAATTGCTTTCACCATAAGCTACAATTAAAACACTTTTTGTTTGAATATAAAAAAGTTGGTCTTTCTCACTTCTCAACTTTTATACTTTGTGTACATGCTATAAGAAAATAATAAAAAAAGGATTTAGCTTGGAAATGATGCAAAATTTGAGTAAGTAAACTGTTGAGAAGAGAAGAGAAGAGAAGTTAATTCATAAAAGAAGGGTCAACAATTGTTCAACTAAAGTTTAATTTAGCTTAATTATATATATAATATATACTTATGACAAGATTCTTATCTGATAGGATTTAAACTTTAGCTTGAAGTATTAAGAAAATGACTTCACCCATAGAATTAGTAGAAGATACATATCGTCTCTCTACTACATATATAAAATGCTTCACATAACAAGGAAAAAACAAAAATCTTTAATGCCATACCTTGTTTCATTTCTAGTGATGGTTAAGTATTTGTTCAGTATATTTCTATATGTTATGTTCTTAATCAGTTCCTGACTCATAAGTGAAGATTAAACGGCGATGGTTATCAAATTGTGTGTCCTAAGTACCTTTTCTATTCAGTGTATCTATACTGATCTGAAGCAACTTTAATTAACATTGGTTAAAGATGTTAGAATAACGTAACCCACACTGTACTTTTTTTGGTGTTGAGTTTTAGAAGCTCATGATTCTTCACATTTATTAGAACTATATAGTAACCCTAAGCGGTTAGACCCGGTTCAAGAAGAGTCATCATCTCAATCAATTTAATTAATAAAGCTCGTATATAATAAGATATTATAAATCCAGGTAACATACTACTATGTAAAATATCATATCCTTTTCTTAGGGAAAATCCAATACATAATTAGAGCAAGTTAAAATAAAGATTACTAATCCTACATTACTACTCAATTAAAGTATACTCAAAATTGAGTATAACGAATTTGGAGAGCAAGTAATCCCAATATATGTTAAACTCATCGCCACTTTTGAAACCACATGATTTTGTAAAGTTCTTCCAGCCAGATCGGAAAAAATAATCCTTCCTGGATTTTCTTAGGGTAACAAAATATGAATTATCATTGACTACGTCCATGATTTCAACTTGAATACCATTCTTCAAACTCTTATCCGTAACACCTTCCATCTTCGTGAGCACAGTCGTTGGTGTTAGTGTTCTTGATATGATCATAGCTGGGTCGATGCTCAAGTCGTTGTAGTTAGACATATTGCTTACGGCAGATTGGACGAGTTTGAAAACTAAGCACACCACATATGTCTATATATATAGTTCCTGCTGCCTTATAAAGTATTATTAATCTTTTCTTTTCTTTTTATCACTTTCAAATCTATTAGATAATAATAAAAAAAAAAATCGCCTTTCAATAGATTTAAAATTTTAAAATAATTATAAAGCTCAATGAATTGAGGGATAGTTTTCCTAAACAGGATATTTTTATTAATATTTTCAACATTTTCAGCAATATATGTATATAAAACTGGTTTACTGCCCTCATTATGATAAACACTTATTTATTTTATTTTATTTTAGAAAAGGGAAATTATCTATAAAATAATTCTCATATTTGGATTTCATTTTCATTTTTTACTTTTCACCTTAAATGTTATTTATATATTGATTATTTATATAATTATATATTAATTGATGATTTATAAATGATTTATGTATCACTTGATTATTTCTAATATTATTATTGTTAATATATAGTTATTTCCTAAAGTTAGTCTACTTATTTCTCTTTTATTTTTATAACTTAGTTATGTATATAGTTTATATATAGTTATTTTCTCACTCAATTAACTATTCAAGCTTTTTCGGATAGTCATGATCTAGATGAGAAGGAAGGATTGTACCCTCTGCTACCCTCTACGAGAGAGCACATTGTTGACAATAACAGAGATATATAGTGAACAACCTTGTGCCAATTTTTTTTTTGATGAAGTACCAAACTCCACGAAGTAAGCGGAGTGATAACGCACGACATGAGTCATCTAAATAAAGCATGTCTTAAAATAGCAGATTCATGTTAGAAAATGATTTCATAAAAGAATAATATAGCACTCTCATGTTAGAAGATTTTTGTTTGCTTATAAATTAGATCAAAATTTACTATTATTCTTTAGTTAATTCTATCTAGTGTTGTGTTTTGCAAACAAAACTAAAACAATGAAGTTCTTGATTCATCTTGTTGTATTATTTTTCCTCTTCGATGCTTTCATGGCCAACGGTGTGGCAGATTCTTTGATTCGAAATTCTTGCAAGAAAAATTCAAGATATGCGGAACCATACATCTACAAATTTTGCATCACATCTATCAAAGCGAATCCAGAGAGCCAAAAAGTAAGAAACATTGATGAATTGACTATGGTATGTACGAATAGCGCGATATCAAACCTAACGAAAGTGAAAGGGATTGTCGAGAATATTGTAAACGAGAAAAAGTATAAGAATAAGTTGAGTCGTACGTTCTTACGGGAGTGCATCAAGCTTTATTCTGAGGGCTATGAGTTGTTAAACTCAGCTCTGAAGTACCTCAAAACAAGAGATTACGAGAAATTTATAGGAAATATGGATATGGCGAGAGGTAAACCAAGAGCTTGCGAAATGAAATTCAACGATGATAATCATCAGATATCGCCTGTAAAGAAAGAACGATGTTCTCTTCGACATGATCAACATTCCCTATTATTTTTGTTTCAACGCTCATATTAATGGTTAGGTTGTCGCAAATCGATTTTGTCACATTATAACATAGCTGATGAATATACTATATATTGCGTAAAAATTGTCCAATGTGTCTATATCATATGATTGTTTTGACATAGAAAAAGTCTAATTTCCTCCCCCTCCCCTAATTTTGACAAAGCTTCTTTCTATTTACACTCTCTTCGTCCTGAGCCCATGACATCTATGATCTATGCCAGCTAAAGTTGTGAACGAATGAAAAAACTTACACATCATATACTTTACTTCTCATTCCTTTCATACCTGGCATTGATAAAAATCAAAGCACTGAAAAGTCTAAAACATCACTAGAACACCAAATTATTTGTTGCTCATATTTAGTTTTGTCTAGAGACTGAAATGAATTGAGATCATGTTTTGTTCTAGAGCTGAGAGAAGCGTTTATTAGCTTCGTTAATAGTGAGAGATCAATGATTGGTACGTTTTACGTAGATAAATATGGATTTGGTCGCCACAATAGAGTGAGTATATATATATGTACCTACGTGATCATTTTAGTTATTAACGTTTTTAATTTTTCCGAGAAACCTAACTTTTCTTTTTCTGAATGCATGAATGTAAAAATTATTCACCCGAAAAACATTTTTTTCATTATAATTATATTTTTTCTGAATGAATGCATATATGCATATGCATCTTTTTTACAAATATTGTTTTTGACACTGAAACTTGTACTACTTTTTTTATTTTTTTGCTAAAAATACTTATATAACTACTGTTTACGTCTTTCTTCGTTTAGAAAATCATTACAACGTATACAAGTCAAATTGTTAAAACGAACAATTAGGCAATACGAACTAAGTGGAGTGGTAAAGCGTGACATGAGCACTCTAAAATCAAGCCGTTGTGTTAGATAATAAATCTTATTTATCAAAAAAAAAAAAAAAACTAAAATTGAAGCAAGACTAATTTAATAAACAACCTGTAACATTATTTTTTTTATTTACTATAAATTGGTTCACGAAGTTAAAACCTTCATGTCTCTGCTTCTCCAAAGAAGAAAAAAAGTTAATAATGAGGTTCTTGCTCTACCTTGTTATGTTCTTTCTCCTTTTAAACGCTTTCGCGACTGAACCATCTTTGATCCAAGATTCATGCAAGAAAGCTTTAGATAAAAACTCGGACATCAACTACGATTTCTGTGTAAACTCTCTCGAAGAGAATCCACGGAGCAAAACCGCACGTAGTCTTGACGGATTGGTCATGCCATCGACAAAAAACGCTCTGTCCAAAACAACGAGCATGAAAGAAACTGTGCAAAAGATTCTCAAGGAGAACAAATATGAAAAGTACAGTGAGAAACCATTACGCGATTGCCTCGAGCTTTATTCTGATGCTAAGAGATCCTTAACCGAAGCTTTAAAGTTCGCGAAGTCGCGTGACTACAAAACCGCTAACGTGGATATAAGTGCAGCAATGGGTGTACCAACCAGTTGTGAAATTGGATTCAAAGAAAGTAAAAAACCAATGAAATCTCCGTTTACAAAAGATAACGATGTTTTGTATCAAATGATTTTGATTCCTTTAGCTTTTACAAATATGTTGAAATGAAACTATCCTTCATATATATAAATGAGATGGACCAATTTACTCACTACGGTATCATTCCATCGGTACTACAAAAGCCAAAAAAATACATACAGTATATACTATGCAATAACCCGGTATAGTGGTTGAACCGGCCGGACCAAGTCGTGGTTCAAGAGAGCCTTCAAACATATTTTGATTCTAAATCATGATTTAAGAAATCGCTGTTACAAGATTAATTTTCTGATTTTTTAATTAATTTGTTGATGAAAAAATGGTCAAATAGTGGAAGAGTTAGCATTTGTTTTTATGTTATGCATGATTCAGAAATTGGAAAACTCATTAAACAAGTTGACTAAATTTGAACATGCAATACATGCGTATATGCAAAGCCAATATTGCATGTTGACTAATTTGAATCAAATAAGTTAATATTATAGAAAATAATAATTAACTTTGAATAATCTTAAGAGTAATAATTTCTCAATTTGGAATTATGTCATAAATAAATAAAAAATGTGAATTCATTCAACGAAGTATAAAGGAAAGAATGTAAAAAAGGAACAATTAGACAGTTATGGCAAAGCCGTTACGTTAGATTCAGAGCCTTACCATAAAACTCTATGTTCTCTTTTCCTATAAATTGAAACCCAAAGTGAGAAATATTCTTCATCAATCCATTCTTAATTCTCATCTTCTCCTCTAATACTAATCCTCTAAAGAAAAAGAAAAAAATGAAGTTCTTGGTTTCATTGGTTGTGTTCTCTCTTGTCTTGAACAGTTTCGCATCAGCGCAAACTCTCATTCAAGATTCTTGCAAGAAAGCTGCCGCGAAAGACCCTCTCATGAAGTACGACTTCTGCGTCAATTCTCTTACAGAAGATCCACAAAGCAAAACCGCGACAACCCTCGAAGGTTTGGTCCTGGCGTCGACCAAGAACGCCGCGGCGAAGATCATGAACGTGAAAGGAACCGTTGAAGGGAGCATCAAAGCCAAGAAGTATGAGAAAGTTACCGAGGCAGTGTTGAACACATGCCTCGAGCTTTACGACGATGCTAATGATTCTTTGACCAGTGCCTTGTCGAGCGTTAAAACGCACGACTATTACACCGCTAACGTGTACTTGAGTGCTGCTTTGGATGACCCGGAGAATTGCGAGGATGCGTTCAAGGAGAGAAAGCAACTCAAGTCTCCGGTTACTACCGAGAACAATGTTTTGTTTCAGAAGATTTTGATTCCTTTGGCTTTTACTAATATGCTTTGATGATGAATTTGTCAATGTGTTTCATTAATTAACCCGTCGATTAATGTTTACCCATGGAATGTTGAGAGCAAATGTGACTTTATCTTAATGGAAATAAAAATTCGCTTTACATATCTGTTTTTTTTTTTTTTCTGGGGTAACATTGACATATTAGTTTAGAAAATTTTAGAGAAGGAGATATTGTTTTATTGAGTTTTAAAGCAAATTATCGATTTTTAAATGATTTAAGATATATTTTCTGGATTTTTCACACACCATAAGAAAACAAAATAAATACTGAATGTGAATGCATTGTTTTATGTGATTTACAATTTTCCATAAGTTTAAACCAATAGAATTATATTATTTTTCTTGAAATTTACAAATTACCATCAATAATTAATTAAAAACTGCATAGGTAACTTAAAAAGTATATCAAATACTGACAAATATATAGAATAATGAAGACAAATTTAAATAAAATTTAAATATTGTGTAATTAGAACTGTTCGTCGTGATTCCACGCAATATTGAAAATCTTTGTCATGGTTATGAAACAGGAATGACTTGTCGTAAATTATTGAAAGCGTGCATCATAAATATGGAGAAAGAAGTGTTGGCTATAGTAGATTTATAAGGATCGAAATCAATTATCCGTGATAAAATAGTTGTTTTTGTAATCGTTCTTATAATTTGCATTAAATAATACATTTGGAACCGCTAAAAAAACCAACTACGTACCACCATTTGACTTAATTTTTTGGCCTAAGTGATTGTTGTATGCTCTATAGTATAATAGTTAATCCACAAGTATAAATAATTGGCTCTGTCCATTGTATATAACTCTTTATCTTTTAAGACCAAAATGTATTTATTTCCTTGAAAAGAAAAGCCAACGACGCCGTATAAAGAAGAGTGTTAAAACGAACAATTAGGCCACAAGACGTGAGCGTAGTGGTAAAGCGTGACATGAGCCTTCTAAAAACAAGCCGTTGTGTTAGTCATCAAATCTCATGTCACAAACACGTTCCACCGTTCAATCCTTTGTTTTCATTTTATTATAAATTTTCTGTCACACAGTAAATAAACTTCTTCATCAATCAACTCTCCAACCTTTTTTTGTTTTTTTGCTTTTAATCCCTAAAAAGAAAAAAATGAAAATTTACATTTACCTAATTGTAACGTTATTTCTCCTCTTAAACGGTTTCTCAACCGCACAAACTCTGATTCGAGACTCATGCAAGAAAGCTGCAGCTTCAAGCCCAAAGTTCAAATACGATATATGCGTCAAGTCTCTCGAGGCGAATCCTCAGAGCAAAGCCGCTAAAGACCTCGCGGGACTAGTCGTGGCATCGACCAAAAACGCAGCGTCTAAAGCGACTAGCTTGAAAGGAAGTGTTGACAAGATCCTCAAGGGGAAGAAAATGAACAAATTGACTGAGATGCCTTTACGTGATTGCCTCCAGCTTTATACCGATGCTATTGATTCTTTAAATGAAGCTTTGGCGAGCGTTAAAAAGCGCGACTACGGTACCGTTCGCACGGTTCTGAGTGCTGCTATGGATGCACCAAGCACTTGTGAAACTGGATTCAAAGAAAGAAAACCTCCGCAGAAATCTCCGGTTACCAAAGATAACGATGCTTTGTATCAGATGGTTCTGATTCCTTTAGCTTTCTCAAATATGTTGAAATGAGATTTACTAAAACAGTATCACCAATTAATAATTTGGCTTCAATTAATAAAGAATACTTTTCTATATATGTTAAAGATCAACCGAACACTTTTGTGACAAAAGTTTCACATACACTTACACTCACCAAGTTTTTTTGGATATGCATGCGTCAAATTATATACGTCGTGACAAACTAATTATGTATGTACATAAACATAATGTATTAAACCTGATTAACAACTCTAAGAGCATGTAGTCATTACTAACTAGGGATAATTTACGTACATCATGTGTTGATAATCAAACTCATTATGTACGTACATTACGAAGCCAGCTAAATCTAGCTAGCAGCACGTTTAAGTTTTAAAAGTACCTAAACCTAATAGCATTGCTTAAAAATAAGCTCTAATGTGCTCATCTAAATACTAATCTTTACGATTAGCAAATAATGCTTCATACATAGTCAAACAGAAACTAGTATATAACACTAGCAATTGGATGGGTGTGCATATGAAGCTATCGTATTGATCCACTCCTTACTAATGGGATAGCTCTACGAGGGCCAGTACAAGATAATATGTATGTCGACATGTGTCGAGACTTACAAATTTGATTTGATTACGAATGTCACGAAAGTAAACTTTTCTTTTATTTAATTCATCGTAAGAAAGTTCAACAAGTTCACATGTTTGGACTGAAGGACACAAAACAGAGTAATATCTAAATTTTGCAAAGACAATTCGATAATAAAATGGTTTGGAAAGAAGAAAAAAAACAAGTCCATAAACGACAGCGTTTTAGAAAGAGTGTTGAAACGAATAATTAGGCCAACGCGAGTGTAAGCGGAGTGGTCAAGCGTGACATGAGCCTTCTAAAAAAAGGCATTGTGTTAGTTATAAACTCTCATGTCATACACTTACTTGTTTCATGTTTACTATAAATTGGATCACAAAGTTTCAAACTCTTCATCAATCGTTTTTCAATTCATCCTCTTATAACAAAAAAAATGAAATTCTTGCTTTACCTTGTTATGTTCATTCTCCTCTTAAACGGTTTTGCAACTGCACAATCTCTGATTCGACATTCTTGCAAGAAAGCTTCAGCAAACGACCCGAAACTCAAATACGATTTCTGCGTCAAGTCCCTCAAAGAGCATCCGCAGAGCAAAACCGCAAAAAGTCTGGAAGAATTGGTCTTTGCATCGACGAAGAACGCTGTGTCGAAAACGATAAGCTTGAAAGAAATGGTTAACAAGATTCTCAAGGAGGATAAATATGAAGTGGAGACGCCGCTACGCAATTGCCTCGAGCTTTATACAGGCGCTATTGATTTTTTAAACCAATCTTTAGACACCGTTAAGTCACGTGATTACAAAGTCGCTACCATGCTTATGAGTTCTGCGATGGATGCAACGGGCGATTGCGAATCTGGATACACAAAAAGAAAAAAGCCTCTGAAATCTCCATTTACAAAAGAGAACGATGTCTTGTTTCACATGGTTCTGATTCCTATAGCTTTTACAAATATGTTAGATATTTAAGTACCAAAAGCGCTTTAATACATAGGTTAAAGGTAACAATACTGATAATGTACCTTAAGAGTAATCGGCTTACTCACTGTAGAAGCAACAATGGTCGTAGCTTTTTCAATGTCTTGAATAAAGAGAGTTATCTGCATAAAGATCACAGGAAGGTTTAGATAAACCAAACTGTTTCTGAAATTGAATGCCAATGCTGATAAAGTAGTAAATTTGGTGTTTTGGAATACATTTCCAGTAATGATACAAGAACCGGTAAAAGTGTGTTCAATCCAATTAACAAATCCAAACCATAATCGAAACATAGAAACCTGAATCAAAAACCGAAAACCAATACCAAATCGTTACTCCACTTTCCATTCGGTTCTCAATTTCATAAACAGGAAAACTTTGCAACCGAACCAAACCGGATAGGACATGGCTATATGGCATCAAATCATAGAAGCGTCATAAAAGAGTAAAAGTCAAACAGTTTCTATTTTCTTACATGCGTGCAATGTGAAGCCCATCATCGCTATCTTCATCTTCTTCTTTATTCTTCCGATCATCATTGTCGCGGTTGTGGTTACTTGATGATCCCAACAAGAAAGGTTGGTCCTTTAGAATTGAAACCTGATCCATCGGAATCGCATTTCTCTTATAGTTCCAAACCAACATTGATGTGTAATCCTGAGTTGAAACAAGTCCTTTCTCTCTTATAAATCTCTTTTGCTCTTCTAGCGTTTTTGGTTCATCGAGCGTTAGGTATTCTATCAAAAACTTCTCGTGCTCAGGCCTCCAATTACCCGGAAAAGGCGAGTAATCGGTTTCTGGAACTAGAGACATTCTTGTATAAACAAGTCCATCAACCGATTCAGCAAGACCCATTTTCAGGAGATTTTGATATTCTGGTGATAGACCTTTCTTCTCCTTCAACGGAAGACTCAAATTCCGTCTACCATGCTTATACACTTTCGCTCTTGATCTGAGTTTGTACTTTGCAGCATAAAGCTTAGCAAGTGAACCACGGATAATATAAGAACAAAAATTGACAATTTTCTTCCGGTTATCTGCAAACCGATACCACTCAGCAACCGTAGTCAAAAACTTATTCATCTGATTATTCGTATGAGCTTGAGTTGCGTGGAACATTCTAAAACAAGGTTGGGGATCCGGATCGCGATCTCCTTTAATAAAATTCAGCTTTCGAAACTGTTTGATGCATTGTTTCAAACTCGCTGTAACGGATAAAAGCGTTCCCACACCTTTTTCGCTTATAATCTTCCCACCGGTCGCAGTATACCTCAGAGTCGGATAAACAACTCGACGACACAAAACATGATCAAGAAACATTATACCTTTAGTTATATGTTCAATGGGGAGATTCTCATTGTCGAGTCTAAGCATATACTTCTGATCAACAAACTCAATCAGCTCTTTCCTTAATGTTGCAGCATCAGCTCGAGGTCCACGGACTCCGATCAAGATATGACCTCCATATCTAACATAATCCATTTTCCTCGTTTTGTCAGGACCGCTTGTGGGAACAAACTCCGGCCATGAGGTGTTTCCTTGATCCCCTTCTTCTGGGCTATTCCATATAACATCGCTTTTAGAAGGACGGTAAAAGTCTTTCACTTTTGATTCCATCCAACGGTCAAGCTCATCTAAACATACATTAACCAAAAGTGGACTAAGAATCCCGCAATGTCCCCACTGCGGAGACTTCCCAGCTTCTTCAGGAGCAAAACCAAAGAAGGTCTCTAGCCAATAAGGATCAGGCTTCGGCTCATCCTCAGCCAAAACTCGTTTTTTCTGATACTTTCTTTTCTTAGTCTTCTTCTTCTCACCATCTTCTACTTTACTCGTGACAACAGGCGTAACAAGCGCAGATTTAATCAAATCAATCACTTTCTTATCTCTAACATCTCTCATCAAAGAACTAATCACAAACCCAACTTTCATTCCATCCAAAACAACACTCAAATCACCCTTAACATACCACAAATAACCCGCGAAATTCCTCCGAATCACTCTCAGAACCGTATGCGCAGTTCTACCAGGCCTAAATGCAAACGACTTCTGCGAAAACCGAGACTCATAAATTGGTTCCAAAATCATCAACAAAACCTCCTGAACAATCCTATCCTGAAACGGGGTAGGTTGCGTAGTAGTCAAAATCGCTTTGATCTTCCTCTTCGACAAAGACTCGTAATCAGTTTTATCCCTAGGAGATTTGATATAGAAATCCAAACGAGCTCCCCATTTAAACCTATCATCAAGAACAGAGTTTCTCAAAGCTAACAAATTCTCTAAAGCTGCTCTCTGAATCGAGCTACGAGGAACATAAGCACCTAATTCATCACAGCAAACTTTCTGATAAGCTAGTACCCATAGCTCGAATCTTCGAAGATACGAGGTCAAATTAGTAGCGGTTTTGTCAGGTTCTTTGAAATTCTCAAGCCACATCTGAGAACAGAGAGATACTCCGTCTTCTTTCAATAGATTCGCTGGATCATCTGGATCTGGTGCTTGTTGTTGCCTTCGTTGAGGTGCGAAGTAAGAGAGATATCGGAAAATTGCAGAGCCGTTAGGGTTAGCAGTGAGAGGAAGAGTGGTGACGAAGCAGTAGACGTTGGTATAAGTGGAAGATGACTTGAGCCATTTACGAGGACCCAAACTAGACAAGCTTCGACGCATTTGGTTAATGGCACAATGAGTCTGGGATGATTTGTAAATAACGATCGTGTTAGATAGAATCAACGAAAAATCAAAAACAAAAAGTGAATTAGAAGTTGGAAATGGAGAGAAATAAGTTTTGAATTCGTTCTTACAGAGATTGATGAGAGCTTCGTCGTCGTCTTCGTCTTCTTCTTCTTCAGGGAAATGGTGGAAACTGTAGTAAGAGTAACCCTCGTTAAACCCCAATCAAACCTCTGTGGTTTTTGCGTTTTGGTGGAGTTTGAGAGAAACCCGAAACGGGCTAAGCTTAGAGCTGCGAGGAACACGAGTTGGGCTTTTTATTATTGGCCCAATAGTTATATCCCTTGGTCATTCTGGTGAAAAGATAATTTGAATATCAAATAACAAACTGTGCAAATGTTTACGATTTAACTCTGGGATTTCTACACGTTAGCAGTTCTTGAACTTTAGCCAGTCTTTACCATTTAGTACACGTTAGCAAGTATGATATGATCTTTTGTTTTCGATGTGATTTTTCTTTTTTTCTTTAATTTAACTTTTCCTACGAAACTCTACCATTCTATTGTTCTGTTTGCCACTGGCTACATCTGTAAGTTTCGTACTATCACATGTCACATCAAACCACTTCAGATGTCTTTCATACTTCTTAACGTATTTTAAGTGAGAATTAATTGGGTTTCTATGCATAATTATCACCAACAAGGCAACAACAAACAACAAAATAAAAAAACAATTAAAAGGAGAGTAAAAGTAATCTTTTCTTTTGTTGAGAGGAGTAACAGAAAAGAGATTTACATCATAAGAGCAAAAGAAGAAGGAACAAGAAGAGATTAAAAAAGGTGTGTGTGTACAGAGAGATGTACACAAAGAATCAAAGATTTGGTAAATCCTAAAAAGAAACCAATAGTGTTGTTGTTGGCTGGTTGGTTGGCTTGGCTGGTTAATGCTTTTTCCCTTCTTTTGTCTGTTGCTTCTTCTTCTTTCTCCCATGATTAAAAAAAAATATAACAATAATAAAAATCAGATACCGAATATTTTGCTTTTGATTCTTTTTTTTTTCCTGTATTGTTAGAGAGATCAGCCATTTTAAAAGAATTGTAGTTAGGAGGAAATTTGAAGCTGTCACGTTACGGCTTTATTAGCCCTTTCACTTTCAGACGTTTAAAGCCACCAAAATGATGATTCTCGATCTTCTTCTTCTGCATCTTCACGTCACTTTGCTGAGTTTCTTTCCTGTTTGACATTACTAACCCTTCTTCTTCTTCTTCCTCTTCCTGCCTACTGATACTACTGCTACTACTATATCTTCCTTCGTGATGATGCGATTTCTTCAGTCTCTTATATTCCTAATAATCACGAAAATCTCAGGGTTTACTAATATATATATGAATATACTGTAAAAATTGTGAATTAAAGTGGCTTTCTCTCGGTACCTGATGATGGTCAGTATTATCTCTTGTGTCGACAACAACTGTTCTGTTCTCAAACTTCAACGAAGAACGACGTTTGACTCTGAAACTCTCGGAATCAGAACCGTCACTTTCCTGATCCGCCATTAGTTGTTCATCTTGAACCGCAGGGAAGAACCGAGTTTTTCTGTTACTGCTGCTTGCTACTTCTTCTGAGAGCTTTGAATCACTACTGTTGCTACAGTTAACTCGTCTATTTAACTGCATTTTAAAGAAAACAGAATTCAGATATTAGAAGAGAAGGTTTGATAAAGTTCGTCGCAGGTTCGTGGCCAGAAACTTACGTAATCAGAGCATTCATAATCATCAGCAACTGAGGAGATACATGAAGCGTTTGCTTCACAGCTCATGACAGGATTTCCAGATTGCAACTGGTCATGAGATGTCTCTACCTCGCTATTGAAATCAAAGTATATAGTAGAATACGGTGAATATCCCTCTGCTTTAGCAGCTGGAAGTGTGATTGATGATGGGTACGCATAAAAATCTTCATCAGTTGTAATCAAATCTGAAACTCCATCTTCTTTCTCAAACTTCTTTGCAGCAGCTTCCAGGACTTCAATGTTATCCCTCAAGAAAAGAGTACGCATTGTCCCGCATGGAAGGTCAAGCTTTTTAATATCTAGATAATAATAATACAAGATAACACCATCAATTAGTAAACAATAATGAAGGATGTGTATGGATGGAGATAACAGAGAAAAAGATTTACCATGACGGAGACAGACGGGATGTGAGTAACAATCACAGTTGATAAATGCCAAATAGCAATCCCGTTTACACAAACTGCAGACAATGGTTCCATATGTATTCGAAACAAGGCCTGTGCATAATCCTGACTTCATTAAAGACCATCGAGCCAGATGAAGAAAACGAATCAGGTGTACAAACGCAGTCTTGATGCTTCGTTGTCCTGACAATTCCGTAGGCATAAAATCCAGATTCTCGGATTTGGAACTTGAGTTTAAGAGCATTGCTTCTTTACAAATCAGTTCTTCATGAGGAAGCAATGGTACTCTGTTAAGATGAGCATACCTGCAACTAGCAATAGCTCCAAAAGGAAACCAATCACCCATTGCAAAGTTCACTGCCTCACCACAATTAAAACCTACAAGAAATTTTCACACAATCCCGGTGTCAATTGAATATGATACCACAATTTCTGACCAATAAAATTGTAGATTCAGACAAAAATATTATACCATGACTGAAGCCAGCATGATAAGCCCTAGGGAATGTGACGACGAACTCTCCTGGTTTTTGCACAGCCTTGTACACCGGCACATTATGATCCAGCAGTATCTTTGGTGGGAATATAGTTGTCTTCCCTAAAAGCACGTCAAAGGCTCCATCTTCTCCATTAGTGGATAGAATATCGTCGTTGTACACACACTCTTTAACTACCTTTTCAAATTTTAGAGCTGCAGAACCTGGAACCCCATACCAAGTTTTTGATGCTCCACAATGTTGGTAGTTAATGCTGTGTTCAGAAAGAAGGTAGAAAAAAGGAGATTAAGATACTTTAAATTGCTCACCTTTAGTAACCCATATACTCGAACCAAAACTTTAACTCTTATTACCTGTACAAATAATGGTCCTCCACATGCCAGGCAAACATACTAAACAGCATTCCAATGTAAAGCATGGGTTCAGTAACTCCCTGAAACAAGAAAAGACAAGTTAGAAGAGGATACAGAAACTACTTATGTGATCGTAACACAAATTATAACTGTTTTACTTGTCACATACCGGAATGGATGTTTCAAGGAGGCGCAAGGTAGACTTTGGCAGCCTTGAAACTTTCTGAAAGTAGAGATAGAAAAGACTTATAACTACCAAATTTAAAAACAAAGCATATGATTTCCATAAACCTTAACCAGAGAAAAAAAAGGGGAGGAGAGAAGATCAAGTTTTAGTAAAACAATACATTCAAGTTCCATTTGCTGCTTCCTAGTGGATCACCTGGTGTAGATGAAAATGCGCTACCATCTACATCACACGCATACTCAACTGATTCAGTCTTGCCACACGCAATTTCCTTCCAGAATTCTTTCTCCAAGAATGAGTCGGGCAAAGAGCCACCACTGCAATATCTACGTGCAAATACCTTGTTCGCCATTTTCTCATAATCGCGAAATGTATAGGTCCTGAGTAGTTTACAAATAATTAAATACAACAGTGAGGTGAAGAAATCAAGCTACATGGTTCAGGATTTAACACAAACCTCCCACTCATGAAGAATGTAACTTTATCATCAGAATCCCACTCAGCAAGGCGAAGGGGTTGTACTCTAGTAGTGAATTTAAAGTTTGATTTCTCTTTCATCAACACAGCACCTGCAGGAACTGTTGCTGTCAACGGGGATACAATCTTGCAAATACCTGCAAAAGAAGCAAAAGAAAAGATTGGACTAAATAAAATAATGAAAATTTATACCAGTGAAGTGAAGTGATAAATAAAGAGCATGGGTCTACTACCAGTTATGAGAGTAAAACATAAAGAGATTTAATTTCAACATTTATCCTTGCATATTGAGATATTTGTTTTACCATATTTTGAAGCTTCTGGGAATATCTTCTGCAAATAAGTCAAAGGATCCTCAAACTCCTCCTTTGTTGGTCTGTAGACAGGACATTCTGGAAGCCTCTCGGTCCATTTTAGATCACCAGTCTCAATCTTCTCCACTTTTCCCTTCAGCAAGCCACCTTTACCAGTAGATGCCCCATTCACTTTAGATACCGTGTCACTAGAAGTGACCCGTAATCTCATTCCACATGAGGCTGACGGTGGTCTGAAAGTATCACCTCCACTTCTAGCCATTGTACTGAAGCTAACTGTTTCATTGACAGAATCTGATCTCATTTTTTGAAGCCTTTTACGTTTCAGAAATTCTAACCCATCCTTAGCTTCTTTTGATAAACAGATCCTCCTTTCCGCCTGACAAACCCAAGTGTCAGCAAACATTCCTCCACATACCACATTAAAAGTTCAACATACTATAAAAATACATATATTGGTCATGGATACACAATAGGTCAACCATTCACACTTAACCCATTATAGTTCCAAAATATTATAACTCCACAAAAAGCTAAGAAACATAAAAGTGAACACAGAAAATGGAAACAGTCAAACACCTAGAGGTTTCAAAAGGCATATAAGCAATTTCACTTCCAGGTACCGCCTAATCTCTTTGACCAATACCCTACAAAGTCAAAGAATGTGACCATTTCTAAATTTCAACACCCTCGAAGAGCGCGAGTCAGAAACCATCGACAACTCTCTCTACAACACACAATCATTTGACCTTAGTGAAGATTCGTCGCCTTTTCAACAGAACTCAAATCTTAAGTGGGATAAAAATAGCAAGAAAAAATTGTGAGATTCTCTCCAAAGACGATCAAACTTCGAAGCAGGGATGAGAAAGACCAAACAATTCAAGGAGAAAACAACGAAATCTCCATAAAAATTGGAGTAATGTAAGAGATCTGATCCAGAGAAATCGTAAACAACACACAATTCACCAGAAGTTGAAGCAAACAACAAATTCACAACGAGAGGAAAAAAAAATTGATCAAATACTAGAGAGGGGAAATCGTCTCACCATAGCATTCCGTAATCTGACTCCGTAGGTCTCCGTCTTCCTCAACCGAATAAAAAGAAATAAAAGAAAGAGCAACCAGAACAAGCAACGAACCAAAGAACAGAGACGAAACCCTAGATCACGATCTCGACCAGCGAATTCAATACAAAGCCTGGCATGCAAACAAAGTAAACCACATTCTACGAAAACACCGCGTAACGAGCCAGGGACCGAGTCAAACGCGGAGATCCGAATCGCCGCGTAGCCGAGTCAAACCGAACATTCAAAAAAAATCCACAATACAAGACACCACCGGAAGACGATTCCAAGGACGAGAAAACGAACGGTTGTAAACGGAACGGAGAAAACTGGCCGGAGAAATCGGTAGTTATATATTTCCCGGCGGTAGAGGAGAGAGAAACTGTAGAGATGCTAAAAGAGGACCCGAGAGAGGAAGAAACTTGGAAAACCGGAAAAAATTGTTAGGAAAGTATAATTTATAGTTTTATACTCCAAACGTGTATACTTTAGTGGCCACCGTAATTTTAGTTTTTATTAAAAAAATAAATAAAATAAAAACAAAAAGCCGTTCCTAATTAAAAATTCTTTACAACATTGAAATAAAAATAAAATATTGGTGGAAATCGGGAAGGTTCCGAAATTCTTCGCTCTTGCGTTTAAATTAAAATATTAGGTATTTTAATAAACGCTCATACGTTTTGCTGCGATTGGTGCGGTTGTGTTCAAAGCAAATTACGCACTTCATAAAAAACAAAAACAGAAAGTTCAGTGTCAATTTTAATTTGAAAACGTACTTTTTTACTTTCTAGAAAGAATTATAACTTAGTTTGATGGAATTCGTACAATTGTTTTTGCTAAAAGTATAAACAATTTATGATGCTAAAAACATGGAATTTCATTATCATTATTAAGTCATTATACAATATAGATCAACTTTATCATTATTTTAGGGAGTGTTATCCAATTATAGTTTTAAAGGGAATTTTCTAGATTTCACAATCTTTTAAAATTTAAAATTTGAAATATCATTTGAGAGATTTAGTTATTTTTTTCTAGTATAGTTTGAATTTGGATTAAATTTTACTTAAAATTTACATAAATTTTCATTTTCAATGATTTAATATACAAAGATATTTTTAGTTTTGAATAACAATAGATTTTAGTATACTGTCTGAAGGACTAATTTAATAGTATCAGACTAAAAATCTATTAAACATAATATAAAAATGTTATATTCAATAACATTGGACTCTGAAACATGATTAGAGTTATGTATGTTTGAGTAATACCCTCTTAGTCTTTGACTAATTTCATTTTCATATTTTCAAATCCTAAAATATGTATATATATAATTTTTTTTTGCTGATAATACATTTTGAAAAATCTTAAAATATTTTTCCATATTTTTAAATCCTAAATTTATAAGCAAGTTTTAAAATATTTTTAGCTATTAGTATGCAGCTAATCAACTCCATTATCAGTAGGCCTTTAGTTTCCTTTTTTATACTTGTACCAATCAGCTTTATATTAACAGTTTTATAAGACCAAACACCTAAAATAAACAAAGAAAATAAGATTCCCAACCAAAAAAAAAATTAAAAATTAAAAAAAAGGGGAACTATAAGTGTGAAGGAAAGTGGTGGTTGTTAGGTGGTTCAACCAAACGCTGCCAACCCTTTAAAACGGCGTTTTCATCCATCTTGCGTTTTCCCTCTTCAACAGTAAAATATCGTCATTACGGAGGGTATTAAAGTCATTTAAAGAGCAGAAAGGTCGAAAACGTGGTGACACTTCTGTACTGTCTCTCTACACGTGGCAGGTGCATTGGGAAGACAATTGTTTTTCTCGGTTACTGTTACTGTGGGTGGTGGTGGTGAGGTCACCGGATTTTCCGGTTCCCGGTTAAAGCTATTATCCCAACTGAAACCCATTGGTCCATTGTTAATTTCACTTTTCTTATATTTTTTTTTGTTTTTTGTTTTTTGGTGTTTTTTTTTTTTTTTTTTTTTTTTTTGTCGTCTTGGTGTTTTAAAAATAAAACTGTGATGAGTTAGGTTTGGGTTATAATGATTAGTTTTGTGAAGTCAGCGAAAACGAAAGCTGTACCAATATGGATCAGCTTCATTAACCGGTTTGGATCCTCCGGTTTAACTACTCTACAAGACTATAACCGGCTCTGCTAGGATTTTTTTATTTATTTTATCTTTTCCAAATTTGTGTAGTGGTTAGAATATTCGACTAGACCCACCCAAGAAATATTCACTTGTTGTTGTTATGAGTTTAAAACTAAAATCATATTTGAATGACATGACAAAAAAAACTTTGGACATTTTAAATTGCCTTTTGTCTCTTATTTAATTGACCTTCTTTTCTTCACATACCATATTATCTTTTAGTTTATTATTGCATATATTTTATTCTATTTTTCCCATTGGTTCACTTCCATTTGACATTATATGAAAAACTATTTTTGTATTTGATTTTTATAACAGATATATCCAAGTTATGATGATATTTTCTATTTTTTATATTAAAATCATTTTCAACTAAAGAAAATAAATGTTATATCAGAGAATAGTCACGATTACATGAAAGATGAGGAATTTTCGACGATAATAATCGAAAAATGAGATGTATTTTTTATATATTTATTTCGACATTTTTGTCTATTTGAAGAAAACAAATCATATATTTGAAAGTTGAATAAAAAGTGTATGTCACTCTCTGTTTCTCTTCCAAGTCTTTGTTAAGTATCCAAATCCGATTAAGTGATCATACATATTTTCATTAAATATTTTAATATCTGATTCGTGCACAAAATGATACTACCAGAAATCAGAATATATTACACATCATGCTCACATACTAATCTTGTATTTAAATTTCAATCTAGTATGTATGTCATCATCTATGAGCTTATAACATAGTCAATGTTAAATGTCATGTTGTTTTACCAATCCACTAATGAATAAGTCACCTACTATTTTGGTATTATTAAGCTTCTACGTGGTATGTATATATATCTTTCCTCTGCCAAGTGCTTGATACATATTAATGCTATACTATACGCCATTGTCCAGTAGGAAACAATATCTTAATTAATTATAAGATGTGCATTATCCAGTTAGGAAGTGATAATTTAGATAATATTATTTATACATGAATTAAATAATTTTGATTTGGAATCTTTGGGATATGGGTTGTGACATGTATGTATAAAATATATTTTTTATGTATCAAATAAGTTGTGAATTAGTCAATGGGACCAATAGATGGACCAGTATACTCTAATATGTCACATAGTTTTTGTTTAGTTTATTGATGTATACATGTGTCATGTTTATATGCCAATTTAACGAATGTGGTATGGTGACACTCATTATGACTTCAAACCTAAGAAATATCCAATTAACAGCTAATCAGAAAAGAGGATTATGCCGAGACATTAACAAAGGCTTCAAGTCAACCAATAACATGTTACATGTATGAGTTTTACACTTTACACAAGTTAATCATGCATAACAATTACGTACATGCTGATTACGTACATGCAATTCTAAGAGAGGGTATGTATGTATGTACAACTGGACCAAGGCAGCAACATACATAGTGGCAGCAACATACATAGACCAGCCTTTTTGTTGTTATGTGGGTACATAGACCAAGTCATTAGAATTTTTTTAATTTATTTATTTGATTTTGAGATTACACTAATGGTAATGGAGAAGTAATCCTTTTTAACTTATGGTCCGTAGACTTTGTTTAATCCCAAAAATGAACTGACATGAGATGAGACTGTGTACAGTACTTGTAAGCAAATGGTACTTTTACGTATACACGAATCGAGAAAACAGTTTGAAGTAATGACGGCATTAAAATTTTGAATGTGCTTTGCTTTGTACTCAAAAATAATTTAAAAATTAAATTACGGGTCAAAGTAAACTCAAAACTCTGAAAACTTTTTAAAAAAACAAAAAAAAAACATGGTAATTACAACTCTTACAAGTGTGTGTGTGTGTGTTTTTGCATCTTTCCGCAAAATTTGTCTGTTGCTTTCGGAAATTAAAGAGACAATGACCAAGGTATCTTTTCTAATCTAGTTGACCGACTTTTCTCCTAAACTACATTTATTTGACCAAATCTTCATTCAATTTTATTTCCATCACGTTGTTTTTAAAACCTTAGTCTTATAAAAGTAGTAACATATTACTTCCATAATTTATATTTCTATATTTTGAAAATAGAATGTATAGTAAAGCTTATGATTTTAGTCAGAAAATTTTATATTTTTTAGAGTGGATGGACGAAGAATGATTGTAAAAGTGATAATATAATTTAATTTCTCGGTTTCACAAAGATTGAAATTTTGGTATTTTCACACATATTTAAAAAATATTAATAATTATTTATGAATTAATTTATGATTATTTTTTTGTTAGAAAAAGAAAATATAAATCAATAGATAACATGTCATGCGGAAATTTTAGTTTTAATTTTAAAATTTATAAAATTAATTAAAAATAAAAAAATTCCAAAACATCATACTAAGTGAAACAGAAGAAATAATGTTTAGTTTTTACGTTATATTTTGTAAGACGTTATAAAGATGTTGTGTATAAGAGTTATTTTTAAGATAGAACGCATAGTAAAGCTTATGATTTTAACATGAAAATCTATATTTTCTAACTTAATATAAATCAATTGATGGAGAAAGAACTAACTATTGCGAAAAAGTGATTATATAATTTAGTGTTTAGTATTTACATCATATTTTGTGAAAATGAATCTTTCGGAAAAATAGTAATTGGATCCTACTAAGTACTAACGATTACGAAAAAAGAAAAAGTACGGTACAGTATATGGATTTTGAATTAAGATTCTCATCAAGCCAAAATAAATTTGGAAAAAAAAAGAGATTGAATCTAATTTCTATAAAAAGAATTCGAGAGTTGTAGTTAGATAGAAACTATCATCAAGTAGATTCGATTCTTAGAGCAACCACAGGGGTTTTAATAGGAGGTTCTCTATGTTTTGGGCCAAAAAAATAAATGAATTAATGTCATAATTAGAGAGAACCGTCTCTGTATTGAGAGTCTTTTGGTGGGTGAAGAGGCGATGACGTGGCGATCTGTGAGTGGCGGTTGAGTAAAATATATAAAGAAAAAAAAAATTGAAAAGCCAAAATTTTTTCTTTTGTTTCGCGACTCTTCTCTCTTCTTTCTCTCTCTCTCTCGGCGATAGCAAACACAAAAAATCGAAACTGTGTTCGATCCGTTGTAACAGATGCTTCCACGGCGGAGAAAGGTCTGATTTCCGGCGAATCGACGAGTTTGGTGAAGGAGAACCAACCGTCATCAACGCATCTCCATCTCCATTGGAGAAAATGTCTTCGAGAGGAAAGAGAAAAGACGACGATGTCAGAGCATCAGATGACTAATCTGAAACCCACGCGTCGGCTAAGAAAGTCGCAAAGCTAGCAGACTCCTCCGACGAGTCTGACGATATCGTCGTTTGCAACGTTAGTCCACTCTCTCTCTCTCTCAGACTCTCACTATGTCTTTCAATAGCTTTTCGTTATTACTCTAGTAGCAGTGAGCTTAGGGGGTTTTTGATAAAGTTTTAATTTTGTTATTGGGTTTTGCTCAATTTAAGGTTTTAGTCAAATTAGGGTTTATGATTGTTTGTTTGGGTGTACATCCAGATATCTAAGAATAGGAGAGTCTCTGTGAGGAATTGGAATGGGAAGATTTGGATTGACATTCGTGAGTTTTATGTCAAGGACGGAAAGACTTTGCCTGGCAAGAAAGGTAAAACTTCTTTTGAAAATTCAAACTATCTTCTTGCTCCTATAATTCACCACTGCTAGTAATGTAATGTGTTTCCTCATCTCTTAGTTTTTATCATTCGTTATTGTTTTGCTTTGTTAAGTTTCTGCAACTAGTTAGGATTTTTTAGTTGCAGTTCTTTAGGGCCTTATAACAAGCGATTTTGCTGATTTGAGTTTGTTTATGTGTTTGTAAGGATGAGCGGAGATGGTGCAGAGTGTTTTCTTTTCAATAATAGTTTGTTGTTTCGCTCGTTACCATCAACAAAGAAACAAGACTCACGCCAACGACGGTCATGTAGAAGAAGCCAAGAGGTATTGTATTGTCTCTTTCGATCTTCACACACAAACTTTCAAAGTCATCTCTAAAGTTCCCTTTGCCCATAGTATCATAGTGCCCAAGTCACATGAATGTTCTAAGAAAACACATGGGTTTTTTGTACAACTAGTTACCACAAAGAACAAAAGAACAAAAATCGTATTGCAAAACACAGGTTGTGTGTGTTTCTCCAATTAGTTAAATATTTTCTGCATGTTGTTGTGTGTAACTTGACAGGTTGTATAAAATCAATTATTCCATCATAATCTTAATTAATTATCCATCAAAGGAACAACAATTATTTCATCGAATTAGTTTTATTAGGTTGCCACTGTCAATTTGTAATTAAAAACACATAAACCAATCTCAATCTTCACCTATAAAAACTCTTAAGACAATCTTTACATTCTTCACACAACATCCACATCTCAAGCTTTACATAACCTTTAAGGCTAAGTCTTATAACTTATTCCTCTATGGCTTATTCTAAGGTTGCTCTTCTCCTCCTCTTCAATGTCATCTTCTTCACTTTAGTCAGCTCGACTTCCGTCCCTTGTCCACCACCACCGTCCAAGAGCCACCACAAGAAGCCCACACCGTCGTCTCCTTACCACAAAGCCACTTGTAAAGACGCTCTTAAACTCAAGGTATGTGCTAATGTGTTGGATTTGGTGAAGGTTTCTCTACCACCAACGTCCAAATGTTGCGCTCTCATCAATGGTCTTGCTGATCTTGAAGCTGCCGTCTGTCTTTGCACCGCTTTGAAAGCCAATCTCCTCGGCATCAACCTTAATGTTCCCATTTCGTTGAGTCTTGTCCTAAACAATTGTGGCAAGAAGGTTCCATCTGGTTTCCAATGTGCCTAGAGATTACACATTTCAAGATTGAGTTTCTTAATAATAACTTCATTTGTTTCTTGTTTTAAATGTCCTCTTTTTGATTTTATCATTAACGATCGTTTTAATTTGTTACACGCATGGTTTATCAATGGAATAAGATGTTTTCGTTCAAAAATTAACAATCGTGTCCTCGTCTCTTATTATTTCTTTTATTCCCTTGACTAATAATAACCTTGTCTAGAAGAATATATGTTGTATGTAGCACTAATAACATCATACCTTAAAATATATAGTACACTTAGAAAGCACGAGCTTTTACTTCTTGGACCAGTTTTACTTCAAAGGCGACATGAAAGGATTAATAATGGAGGCCTTAAATTACGTCGGAGCTTCACTCCAAACTGGAAACATTAGGCCATGACATTATGTTTAAGAGATTAGAAAACGAAGATAGCATTAGTGACAAATTGCTTATAAGCCTTATGAGATGGTGAAAAATGATGTCTACATGACTACATCTCAAATGACATTTTTTCTATATACTGTATATATATTTAGAAAATTTTAGAAAATAACAAGATTTTTTTGGTTCTACTGTATTTTGTTTGTTTTGGTTCAAAAAAAAAAAAAAAAAAAAACTGTATTTTGTTTAGATTCCTCGTATTTAAAGATTACGAGGTAGAACATATAGCACATAATCTTCGAATATATTCGCATGAAACTTTTCTTAGTAACTTTTTAATGAAGATAGCATTAGTAGACAAAAAAACCTATCTTAATTACATTAGTGAGATAAGTTACGTAAACCAAAAGTCATATAAATATCAAATATATTTCTATGGTTAATTCACATAGGTTTTGCAGAACCACAACATAATGGATCTAATTAGTTACACAAAGCTGTACAAATTTTTTAACACTAACCTAGCAAACGTTACAAAGTAGTACTGCAAAACTAAAAAAAAAACAAAAAAAGAAGTACAAAAACAAAAATAATATCGCTTTTGTGATCGGTAATTGTCAAATTGGTATGCTCTGTATTGTAGCAAAATGTAGTTTTTGGTTTTTTTTTTTACGATTTAAGTTAAGTTATGTAAGCTTGTCATTCCTCCACTCAATTAATATATATACATAATACATATATGTGTGAAATTACATGTAACTCAATATTCTTGACAGGTTGTAAGATTTCATTCTATTTGGAGTAATAATCCATCACATGAACATTATTTCATTCAATAGTTGTCATTTTGTAATATAAAACAAAAATAAAACCCCTAAACTGTCTCTACATTCGTCACACAACACATCACAATCTTGATTTCAGACAAAGCAGAAATTAGGGTTTTTATTTACTTCTTAATCGGTGGCTTATTCTAAGATTGACCAATCCGTGCTTGTTAAGCTATATAACACACAAGAAAAGACAAAACAAAATAAAAACTAAAATGATTAAAACGCAATTTTTTTTTAATCTAATGTTTAATAGATTGACAAATATATAGTCCTTTCGTATAACAAAGAATGTTTGTTACTATTTTCTTTTTGTTTAAAATTAAATACATCGTTTCAACCAACTAGTTAGAAAAAGAATCATTATCGCCACGTCGCCCAAAAACACATGGGTTTAGCTCAACCAGTTACCACAAAGAACAAAAGAACAAAATCGCATTTTCAATAAGTCCGAATCAATCATTCGTTACTGTTTAGTTTTAAACTAAGTTATAAACTCGTCTTTCCCCCACTTAATTAAATATTTTCTGCATGTTGTCTGTAACTTGACACGTTGTAAGAACAATTATTCCATCATAATCTTATTAATTATCTATCAAAGGAACAAACATTATTTCATCGAATTAGTTTTATTTGATTCCCACTGTCAATTTGTAATTAAAAACACATAAACCAATCTCAATTTTTACCTATAAAAATCCTAAGACTATCTCTACATTCCTCACACAACATATACATCACAAGCTTTTTGTATAACCTCTAAGAGGCAAACTCTTATAACTTCTTACTTCCTCCTCAGTGGCTTATTCTAAGATTGCTCTTCTACTCCTCTTCAATGTCATTTTCTTCACTTTAGTCAGCTCGACTTCTGTCTCTTGTCCACCACCACCGTCCAAGAGCTACCACAAGAAGCCCGCACCATCGTCTCCTTACCACAAAGCCACTTGTAAAGATGCTCTTAAACTCAAGGTATGTGCTAATGTGTTGGATTTGGTGAAGGTTTCTCTACCACCAACGTCCCAATGTTGCGCTCTCATCAATGGTCTTGCTGATCTTGAAGCTGCCGTCTGTCTTTGCACCGCCTTGAAAGCCAATCTCCTCGGCATCAACCTTAATGTTCCCATTTCATTAAGTCTTGTCCTAAACAATTGTGGCAAGAAGGTTCCATATGGTTTCCAATGTGCCTAGAGATTACACATTTCAAGATTGAGTTTCTTATCATAACTTTAATTTGGTTTTTTTTTTTTTTTTCATTCTAATATGTCCTTTTTTGATCTATCATTATCGATCTTTTTAATTTGCTGCATGTTTTTACCAATGGAATAAGATATTTTCGTTCAAAAAAATAATAATCGTGTGCTCTTCTCTTATTTTTCTTTTAATTACCTTGACTAATGGATGCAAGCTTATATGTTAATGCATTATTTTCAACAATTTATATAAATATCAAGTCTTTTAGCTTTCATATTGTTTTCTCCTTTCTTGAGGATTATTGAGGCTCAGAAGGTTTTTCTGTTTATAGATTAACAAGTACGGATTGATCAACCTTAGAATAAACCACCGATTGAGAAGTAAAGTTATAAAGGAATTTGTCTTTTAAAATTATAAGAAAGAAAAACCCTAAAAAGCACTATATTTTTTTTTTATCAAGGTTAATTATGATTTAAATATAGAGATGGACTGGGTTAACATCATACCTTATTTGTGTTTTTAATTACAAAATGACAACGATTGGAATAAAATCTGCATGTGAAATCTTACGACCTGTCAAAATATATTGAGTTTCGAAACTCCCTAAGTCCTAAATTTCTATATTGTTGATGTACCGGGCTTGTTCACCTAAAAGTTCGTTGCTGCGTTGACACCTTTTATCTATTCTTGTAATCGGTACTGTTATTATAATTATAACAACAGAAATTCTAAGAAAAGAAAAGTATATTGAGTTGTTACATGCAACATACAAAAAGAGAAAAAAAAAAAAATTTAATTCAATGAGTGGTCAATGAAAGGCTTATATATCTTAACGTAAACAGTAAACAAATCAAGAAAACCATGTGATTTAGAAGCAGAGAATTTATATTTGCTATTATTATTGTAAGCATCAGATTATACATATGAATTAACATTATATATTACAAAGTAGGTAGTATAACAGAAAAATATTTACAAAATCAAGGTGTCTTTGTTTTTTTTTTGGACAAACAATCAAGGTGTCTAAGAGTGAAATTGTTCAATGTAAAACCATCAATATAACACTTATGAATTTTGGATTACGATGATTTATCTCACTAATGTAATTAAGGTAGGTTAGGATATCTAAACAGAGGGGAAAGTGTCTAAAAAATTCATGCGAATATGTTCGAGCAGTATTGATCTTTCCATGTGATCCCATAACTAAGCACAGGATTGTTGTTTTATTGAACGAAAAACATCTTATTCCATTTGATAAATCATGTAGAAAATTACAACAAGTACTGAATCAAAAGTGGAAATGTAAAACAAGAAACAAATGAAAGTTAAGACAAAAATCTCTCAGTTTGAAATATGTAATGTTTAGGCACATTTGAAACCAGATGGAACCTTCTTACCACAACGGTTCAAGACAAGGTTTAAGGAAAGGGGAACATTAAGGTTGATACCAAGAACATTAGCCTTCAGCGCGGTGCAAAGACAGACGGCAGCTTGAAGATCAACTAGATCCTTGATGAGAGCGCAACATTTGGAAGACTTTGGTGGTAGAGCAACCTTCACCAAATTCAACACATTAGCACATACCTTTAGTTTGAGAGCGTCTTTACATGTGGCTTTACGGTTAGGGACCGAAGTCGAGCTGACTAAAGTAAAGAAGATGACGTTAAAGATGAGGAGAAGAGCAATCTTAGAATAAGCCATTGATGAAGAAGTAAAGTTTGAATTCTTGTAAAAGGTATACAAGAAATACTCTTTATCAAGCTTGTGATGTGTTGTGTGAAGAATATGGAGACAGTGATAGCGTTTTTATAGGTGAAGATTAAGATTTTTTATGGCTCTTTAATTACAAATCCATGAGGTGGCAACAAAGTGATAATTTTCAGATGAATTGTTCATGTGAAAGATCTTACAAACTGTCACGACGATACAAATATATGACTTATAACTCGAAAGAGAGGGTTGTCATTTGTCAATAATCAATGTTTGTTAAACATGGGATTAGAAAGCTTTGTTATATATATATTATCTTCCAAAATAACAATGTTGACTTAAATATTATCTGCCGTCTCCATTTGTGTTTGAAATCTACTAGTGCGATCTTAAAACTAAATATATTATCTGCGAAAATAATAATGTTGAATTAATTAGACCATGTTACCATAAACTTGGAATATTGAAGACAACCCTTAAAACTATGTTTTTTTTTTTTATTATCAAGGTTGTGTGACGAATGTAGAGATGGGGTTTTCATTTGCGTTTTCAATTACAAAATGACAACTACTGGAATATAATCTTCATGTAAAATCTTACAACCTGTCAAAATATATTGAGTTGTTACATGTATTATAGAAAGAAAAAAAATTCAATGAAAGGTCAATGAAAGGCTTATATATATCTTAATATAAAGTATAAACCATAAACAAATCAAGAAATCCATGTTATTTAACAACATAAAATATATTTGCCACTATTATTGTAGATATCAGATTATACATATATATGAATTAAGATTATGTATTACAGAGCTGGGTGTTATAATACATACGAATCAAGGTGGCTAAGAGTGATGTTCAATGTAATTAAGGTAGAAGTAGAACCGTATAAACTATCACTTTTGGATTGATCTCACTAAGATATTTAAGCTGAAGGGAAAGTGTCTAAAAACAAATTTCAAGTGGTATATGTTCGTGTATAGAAAACATGTCATTTTACTAACGTAGTCTAATATATTATTAATTATCTTCCAAAATAATAATGTTGAATTCATTATCTAAACCTAATCTCAATTTTATCTCTATTATTTTTTCTTATTTAAACGAATTTAGTTCTATTAAAAATATTTTTTTGGTTCATTCGGATACTCTTAGGTACTGTATGTCTTTTACAAAAAAAAAAAAAAAAAAAAAAAAAAAAAAAAAAAAATCTAGTAATTCGGATACTTTGAGAAATATCAAATTAAATTTTATTGAGTAGATTTATATCCGGCTAATTTTGGGTATTTTGCCTAAATTGAATTACACTATTTAACATTTTATGATATACCAACCTAAATGTAACACAATGTTCCAAATTTGATCTCTTAACATTTTATGATATACCAACCTAAATGTAACACAATGTTGCAAATTTATATTGTAGATGATCTAATTAATTCAACATTAATATTTGGAAGATAATATATTAATTCAGAGCTCTCTCCTCCCATGTTTAACAAGCGTTGATTATTGACAAATGACAGCCCTCTCTTTCGGATTACAAGTATTATATGTATCGTCGTGACAGTTTGTAAGATCCATTAATTCATCATTATAATTTATATAATCCTTCACATGAACAATTTCATTTGAAAATTGTCATTTTGTTGCCACCTCATGGATTTGTATTTAAAGACACATAAACAAATCTTAATCTTCACCTATATAAACGTTATCGCTATCTCCATATTCTTCACACAACACATCACAAGCTTGATAAAGAGTATTTCTTGTATACCTTTTTATAAGAAATAAAACTTTACTTCTTCATCAATGGCTTATTCTAAGACTGCTCTTCTCCTCCTCTTCAACGTCATCTTTTTCACTTTAGTCAGCTCGACTTCGGTCCCTAACCGCAAAAGCACATGTAAAGACGCTCTCAAACTCAATGTATGTGCTAATGTGTTGAATTTGGTGAAGGTTGCTCTACCACCAAAGTCATCCAAATGTTGCGCTCTCATCAAGGATCTAGTTGATCTTCAAGCTGCCGTTTGTCTTTGCACTGCACTAAAGGCTAATGTTCTTGGTATTAATCTTAACGTTCCCGTTTCTTTACACCTTGTCCTCAACCGTTGCGGTAAGAAGGTTCCATCTGGTTTCAAATGTGCCTAAACATTACATATTTCAAACTGAGAGATTTTTGTCTTAACTTTCATTTGTTTCATGTTTTACATTTCCACTTTTGATTCAATCGTTGTAATTTGTTACATGTTTTATCAATGGAATAAGATGTTTTTTGGTTCAATAAAACAACAATCTTGTGCTCTTGTCGTCCTTTTTTTTTTCTTAATAAATATCTAGAAGAATATATGTTCGATGCATTATAACATCATCCTATGCATGGAACTCAAACTTGACCAAATACATATAAACCAATCTGAACCTAAGACTGTTTTTAATTAAATTTATAGTAGATTAAATATGTAAATCGTGAAGACTCCGGAGACACCACAACAGACATTGCAACTCCACTGCGATTCTGTTCACCGTTGGTCTAAAAGCGTCTCGAGAATAGAAAAGAACATCCCCAAATAAGAATCATTAATCCAAGAAACATGAACATTGCATTTAAGAGTTCCCAAATATTAACAATTTAAATATGCTAATTTTTAAGCAGCATGATAGTATATATATTTAAAGGGTCCGTCGTAGCAAATATATTATAAGTTCATTATTATGAGAGAAACGAAAAGAAGAAGCTAAAGTGATATAAGTTGTCCCATTTGAATATTTTTATGACTAGTAAACTGCCAAAGCAAAAATGTAAAGCCAAAATATTTCAAGTATAATTTTAGTGTTTAATTTTATTCATATCAAATTATTTTTTAAACTTTATACAAAAATTATTTTTAAAATTTTATACAAAATTTAAAAAGAAACATAGCAAAACCAGCTTTTTAGCAGAATGATAGTAAAAGAAACATAGCAAAAACCAGCTTTTTAGTGAAGCTAATGAATCAGAAAATGTTTTGGCTCATCTAATTAGTTCGATCGCAAATAAACAGATTTTTAAAGTTTCATCATTTTAAATAAACAAACATATTTTCTTATGATAAAAATATTAATTATCTTACAACAATTATGTATGTTATAAATTACTATCGATAACCCATCTTATAACAACATTGTATTTTCTGTAGGTTATAGAGTACACGTGAAAAGAATAATATACTTCTTTTTAATAATTTGAATAAATTCCACAAGATATTTTGGAATAAGTTAAACTGAAGTTCCATCATGGTTATTATTTCAAATCACTAATCGTAACCATTAACCAGGAACCATTGGTTATAAAAAACTGAATTATGGGTGTAACACTACTGTTTAAGGAAATATGGTGATGCATGCAAAGTGTTTAAAAAAATTGATATGGCCACATAAATTTGTTACTAAATGCCTTTGTTTTTTCGGTCAAACGTTCTGAGAGAACACAGTTAAAACATATTTATGCTTGAGTATAGTTATGGATGAGCAATCTCCCGGAAATTTATTGCTAGAATTATGTGAGTGAAGAAAAAATATGGAGAAAAAATCACGTTGTTATATGAGGGATTGGTAAAAAAATTTTAAAATTTCACAGACGTAACAAATCAACCGTCAAATAATAACAGACCCACAAACCGCAAGAAAATGTGAGGCCTATTAAAAAAAAAGTGGATCAAGAGTTTACAATTAACTACATGTATAATTTCTAGTCCTTATTTTTGGCTAGAACGTTTAAAAAATTTCGATGTTTTGTAAATATATTTCGGAATCTCAGTTACGGAATGGTTAATCACTTCAAAGACAACATGGAAGGATCAATATAGGGGGAATAAAATTTACGCTTGAGCCTATCTATCTTCACGTTTACTCGAAAATGGAAGAACTAATTTGAGCCATGAAGTATATGCAAAATAGAAAACAAAGATAGCTTTGGCGACAAACTGCTCTAATACGGTGAGTATAATGTCTACGCAGAGCCGGCCCAAGCCACAAGCTAATGAAGCATGTGCTTGCGGCCCTCTTCTATTTATTTATTTTCCGGCCCTTAATTTTCCAATAGTCTCTTGTAGCTCTATTGGTTTAGTAGTACATAGTGGAATAGGAGGTAGTGGGTTCGATTCTCTAACTTCATAAAAATATTTTGGCCTTTTTTTTGGATTTTAGCTTGTAGCCCTAAAATAGTTTGCGACGTGACGTAGACTACGTTAGTAAAAATGACATGTTCTATATACACGAACATATTCACTTGAAATTTGTTTTTAGATACTATCCCTTCAGTTTAAATATCCTAACCAACCTTAGTTACACTGAGCAATTTCACATTTAGCCACCTTGATTCCTATGTATTTTTCTGTTATAACACCTTGCTTTGTAATACATAATCTTAACTAATATGTATGTGTTCCAAAGAAAGAAAAACTTATATGTATAATCTGATGATGTCTACAATAATAATGGAAAATATAGTTTATGTTGCTAATCACATGGATTTCTTGATTTGTTTATGGTTTATTGACCACTCATTGAATTAAATTATTATTTTTTTCTTTCTATAATAGATGTAACAACTCAATATATTTCGACAGGTTGTAAGATTTTACATCAAGATTTTTATTCCAATAGTTATCATTTTGTAATTTAAAACACAAATAAAAAAAACCATAACCCAATCCTTACATTCGTCACACGACATGTAAATCAGAACCTTGATAAACACATAGTTTTAAGGGTTTTGCTACAATGTTCCAAGTCTATGATAACAAGGTCTAATTAATCAACATTATTAGTTTGGCAGATAATATATATAATTAGTTCAAAGCTCTCTAATCCCATGTTTAACAATCATTGATTATTGACGAATGACAACTCTCTCTTTCGAGTTATAATTAGTGTTTTTTGTATCGTCGTGACAGTTTGTAAGATCCATTAATTCATCATTATAATTTAACTAATCCCTCACATGAACAATTTCATTTGAAATTTATCATTTTGTTGCCACCTCATCGATTTGTAACCAAAGACACATAAACAAATCTTAGTCTTCACCTATAAAAAGGCTATCACTGTCTCTATATTCTTCACACAACACATCACAAGCTTGATAAAGAGTATTTCTTGTATAGCTTTTATAAGAAATACTCTTAATAAGAATTTGCTTCTTCATCAATGGCTTATTCTAAGATTGCTCTTCTCCTCATCTTCAACGTCATCTTCTTCACTTTAGTCAGCTCGACTTCGGTCCCTAACCGCAAAGCCACATGTAAAGACGCTCTCAAACTAAAGGTATGTGCTAATGTGCTGAATTTGGTGAAGGTTGCTCTACCACCAAAGTCTTCCAAATGTTGCGCTCTCATCAAGGATCTAGTTGATCTTGAAGCCGCCGTCTGTCTTTGCACTGCCCTAAAGGCTAATGTTCTTGGTATCAACCTTAATGTTCCCATTTCTTTGAACCTTGTCCTGAACCGTTGCGGTAAGAAGGTTCCATCGGGTTTCAAATGTGCCTAAAACATTACATATTTCAAACTGATATTTTTGTCTTAACTTTCATTTGTTTCTTGTTTTTAATTTCCACTTTTGATTCAGTACTTGGTTGTAATTTTTTACATGTTTGATCAAATGGAATAAGATGTTTTTCGTTCAATAAAACAACAATCGTGTGCTCTCGTCTTATTTTAATATTATCTAGAAGAATATATGTTATATGCACTGGAATTCAAATTTGACCAAATTACGTAGAAACAAATCTGATCCTAGGACTGTTTTTAATTAAAAATATGTATATGTGAACTAATTTAGTATCTTTTATAATTATGAAAGTCTATCGCTGTGGCCAAATATTAAAATTTTAAATATTCTAATTTTTCAGCAGCATGATATATATAACGATTTAAATAAGTTTGTTAATTATTGTGACAAAAAAAGAAAAGAAGAAGCTTAAGTGTTATAAGTTGTCCCATTTAATTATTTCTATGACCAGTAAACTGCTAGAGCAGAAAAAAAAAAACCAAAATATTTCAAGTATATGAAGGAAGTGTTAAACATAACCTTTAATATGAAGATTGTCCCATTTCTGTCTCTAATTTGTAACTGAAAATACAGCAGAAGACCAGCTTTTTAGTGGAGCCAATGAACTGGAAAATGTTTTGATCGCATATTACTGATATTTAAAATTTCATCATTTTAAATAGAAAGTAAACATATTTTCTCATGATAAATGTATTGAAATAATTTGCAACAATTATGTATATGATAAGTTACTATCGAAAACCCATCTTATCACACAACGTAACATTTTATCTTTCTGAAGATTATTGTACAAGTGGAAAGCATAAAATACGATTTTTCTTTTTTAATAACTTGGGTAAATATCCAGAAGATATATATATGTTGTTAATAATTTGTTTATGGTTTATAATTTGTTTATGATTTATCAAGGTTGTGATTTACATGTCGTGTGACGAATGTAGAATAATATATATATATGTACATATATATTCACTTGAAAAATATGTTTTTAGACACTTTCCCTTCAAAATTTTTTTCCCGTTCAGTTTAATATTCTAACCTATACGATAGTGAGATCAATCCAAAGTCATAGTTCTACCTTAATTACATTGAAAAAATCACTTTAATTCTAGCTATTCTTTGATTTCGATCGTATGTATTTTTCTGTTATAACACCCTCCTCCGTAATACATAATCTTAATTCATATTTATAATCTGATGATGTCTACAATAATAATAGCAAATATCTTTTGTTTTGCTAAATCACATGGATTTCTTTATTTATAATTTGTTTATGGTTTATATTAAGATATGTATAAGCCTTTCATTGACCACTCATTGAATTAAATTATTTCATCTTTTTCTATATTACATATATGTAACAACTCAATATATTTTGACAGGTTGTAAGATTTTACATGAAGATTTTTATTCCAATAGTTGTCATTTTGTAATTTAAAACACAAATAAAAAACCATAACCCCGTTTCTACATTCGTCACACGACATGTAAATCACAACCTTGATAAAAAAACATAGTTTTAAGGGTTTTGTCTACAATATCATTTTAATTAATGATGTTTAAGGTTTTTACACACAAATTAATAAAACACATAATTTCTCTAGTTTTCATTAAAACATCATTAATTAAAATAAAATCAGCCAATAAGAAAATATGATGTAACATATAATTGGTCAAAGAGTATTAATTAAAAACATTTAATTTTTGCATAGAAAATTAAAAATATCACTTAAAATGAACAAATGTTTTTGGTAACATGCATGGTCTAATTAATTCAACATTATTAGTTTGGCAGATAATATATTAGTTCAAAGCTCTCTAATCCCATGTTTAACAAGCATTGATTATTGATGAATGACAACTCTCTCTTTCGAGTTATAATTAGTGTTATTTGTATCGTCGTGACAGTTTGTAAGATCCATTAATTCATCATTATAATTTAACTAATCCCTCACATGAACAAATTCATTTGAAATTTATCATTTTGTTGCCACCTCATGGATTTGTAATTAAAGAGCCATAAAAAATCTTAATCTTCACCTATAAAAACGCTATCACTGTCTCCATATTCTTCACACAACACATCACAAGCTTGATAAAGAGTATTTCTTGTATACCTTTTATAAGAAATATTCTTATTAAGACTTTGCTTCTTCATCAATGGCTTATTCTAAGATTGCTCTTCTCCTCATCTTCAACGTCATCTTCTTCACTTTAGTCAGCTCGACTTCGGTCCCTAACCGCAAAGCCACATGTAAAGACGCTCTCAAACTCAATGTATGTGCTAATGTGCTGAATTTGGTGAAGGTTGCTCTACCACCAAAGTCTTCCAAATGTTGCGCTCTCATCAAGGATCTAGTTGATCTTCAAGCTGCCGTCTGTCTTTGCACTGCACTAAAGGCTAATGTTCTTGGTATTAATCTTAACGTTCCCGTTTCTTTGAACCTTGTTTTGAACCGTTGCGGTAAGAAGGTTCCATCTGGTTTCAAATGTGCCTAAAGATTACACATTTCAAACTGAGAGATTTTTGTCTTAACTTTCATTTGTTTCTTGTTTTACAATTCCACTTTTGTCACTTTTGTTGTATGCTTCATTCATGAAATAAAGTGCTTTTCCTTTCTTTTAACCATGATGCTACATTGCTACTGTTCAAAATAATTTATTTATTTGGCATCATAACATATTAACATCATACAATATAACTTAAATTATAAACACAAGTATCATGAAGATAATTCCAACCCTAGGAATCCTTGTCTAATTAAATACTTAAATTAGCACGTACTTAATAATGGTATATAATATATAGCCTGTCGCAATCGCAAGATATTAATAACAGTTTTTAAATTTGCTAATTCTAATGACTAATGAGCATGATACTAATCATTAAATGAGACTCAACTAGAAAACATTCAAATCCCACGAGAAGTATTTATTATCTTTAACTAAAAATGGTAATATATGTATTCCCATTTTGATACTTAATATTGAAACTAAAATAAAAACATAAAAAGACCAAAGCATTAAATACGAAAAACCAAAGTATAAAGGAGGTAGCATATTAATTGCAAATAAGCCAAAATATTTCAAAGGAGTCAAACCAAACCAAAGTAGAAAGTCAATACCCGAACCAGCAACGCTTTTCTATTAAACCGAATACCGGTTTAACCGATTATTCGGTTCAAAAGCACAAAAAAGGTCAACTTACCCAACCTGGTGCGCTCTTGACTTCCTCTAATTACTATTTTGACCTTCCCACCAACAAAAACAGAAAAAGACAAACTTACTTTCCCATTTTACCCCTTACTATAAAACTGAAAACAACCTAAAAGGCTTATCCATTTAGACGCTACGTTATTTACCCAAAACACCCTCGAAGAGCAGAACCGAATTACCTATTAACCTCCCTCTTTTGCCCCTGACACTAAACCGCTCTGAGATAGAAAAAGTAAGGAGGTTTAGGGGTAATTCGGTCAATTAACTGACTTCTTGTTTGGACACGGCGTCAGAAGATGCAACCGCCGGCGTAAGGGTGCTGGTAAGGGCGGAGGTGATCTGATTAACAGTGGCGCAGAGATGGTTATTGATGGTGGTGACGGTGGAGAGATTCGGTTTCGCTGTTGGGACGTTGCTCGCCAAGACCTGAATCGCGACGGTGAGAAGACACGACTGAGGAGAATTCGAATTGACGGAAACACCCTCCGGAGGATTCACGGGGACGATGGAGAATCCGAGGGGTAGAATCGGGATATTGGAAGAATCTTCTCCGTTCATCGCTAGTTGGACTGAGTCAACATCGACGGTGGAGTAGACGATTAAGCTACCGGAGTTATCGATACTGCTCTCTTGAAGCATCAGCTCTACATTGTGCCATGAATTGCTCGCTACCTGTAAAAAGTTTTGATTTTGCTAAGAAACATTTCGAAAAGTTCAAATCTTTGAATCAGGGCTTTGATACTTACATTGATTCGAAGAAGAGAGATACAGTTTCCAGGATGTGAACCATTTGCGATATGAGCAACTTCATGAGGTGAGTTCCCATTGAACAAAACCTCAAGCTACAGAGAGAAACAAGGATCCAAATTGTTCACCAAGATTTGTGTGTTTGAAAGTGATAATATTCAAGAACAGAGAGAAGAAGAGTCTAGTTTGGTTTACCAGAGATTGGTGATGTTGATCACGGATAAGATCAAAGACTTGATGGTGAGAAAATGGAAGCCAAGTGGTTGAGACAGCACAAAGAACAACTCCTGTAGGCTGACCAGCTTCACACATTTTCCTCGTTGTGATTCTTACAGTATCTTTGGTTGTCTCAGACAAAGCTGTCCAAGATTGTCCATAGGCAGTGCTTATATTCACACAGAATGTTCTCACCATCCTCTGTGATAACCTCATTATGTTTCTCCTAGCTTCTGCGGATGAGATCACTGCACAGAGATAACAGAGATTTAGTGCTTTTTTGCAGTTTAAGGGTTTTAAGAATTTAGGGGGATATGATTTGGACTACTAGCCTCCAAGATCAGTTATGTTTCTAGCCATTAGACTAGCGATCCTCTCGCACTGTCTCTGCAACACGTCGAGCCAACGGTTAGCTCCAAAGGCCATTCCACTTTTCACATAGTCAGCAAAAGTCTCGTGCAAATGCTTCTCGTCAACTTCAACATGCTCTACCCACTTGACTTGTGAGTATCCATTAGGCATGTCTTGAATGATACAGCCTGAAGGTTTCCTCTTATACTCATGAGGAGTATTAGTACTCGGTGGCTGCATTTGGTCATGGAAGCTATCGATTGGGAAATCTACGATTGCCCAATTTCCGGTTTCCGCATTTTGCTCCACATACCGAAGGAAATAAGCTTCTCTAGTTGGAACCAGTGGAGAAAGTACCTGCAACTCTGCATACATCTTGTAAAACATAACGACATTGATTATGTTAGCAAACAAGCTAGTGCATTTGGTTGGTTCGCTTAAATCAAATCGAATTACTAAATTACCAATAGAAGGGAGCCACTAGCTCCAGAAACTCCAGATGAGATGATCTGAACCGTTTTCGCCCTAGCCACGATTGAACAGAACATCTCTGACCATTTATCCTTCAATTCACGAAAACGCAAAATTAATCTCTATGTAATCAAATCAGAGGTGTTTGTGAAAAGTTCACTACTCACAGCGTTCAGAAACGCGTCAACTAGCGTTATGCTGTTCATGATAACAACTGCATTAGCCTTTGAAGCTTCTCGACCAAAATCTCCTTTGTTGTTAGGATTCTCCACTGGCCATGGGAACAACCTCATGTACTCTTCCTCGTTCAGACACAAAACCTCGCCGCCTATCTTGTCTGATTTCTTCTTAATCCATAAAGGCTCTTCTGTCTCACACATTTTAGTCAGTTCTTGGACACAAGAGACAGCAATTTCCATAGCGATAACCTTTTCTTCATCCGCAAGTAACATGTTGTTGTTGTTGGCTGTTTGATCTGGGAAGAAACAAGTTGTATCTTGTGGAGGAAGCATCATCATATCTGCACAAGATTGTTCTGGAAAGTTCCCTGCGTATACGCTCATGTCTAGCTCCAATGAAGGTTGATGATGTGGAAGCGTAGGAGAAGGAGTGATCAACGCCTGAGATGATGGCATGGATTGCATCGGACGACCATTGTATCTTGAAGTAATGGAGCATACACGATCAAGCTGTGGAATAGACAATCAGTATTTTAGGCAGGACATTTTCACACCAATGTTCTAGCAAATGTTTAGGATGATTTCGACTTACCTCTTCACGGAGGCGACAGTTCTCAATGTGAAGTTCACTGAACGGAATTTCACCGAGGACGGTAGGACCGCCGCAAGAAGGACATGAAAGGCACCGTAGCTCCGCCTGAAGATGGCAATTCTCCGACTTAAGGCTATCATTCTCTGCCCTTAACAACACATTCTCTGTTCTGTCTTGGTGTGCCTATTGATTCATCTCACAAAAATAATTATTAGTTTGTATTTAAACTAGTAATTTGAGATGAGATAAATAATCTAATAGTTGTTACAAAAGTATATGTAAACATAAACATGGAAAGCAATATTTGTAATTACCTTCATTTGGGTACGCCTATTTTGGAACCAAAACTTGACTTGTCGAGGCTTGAGACCAAGTTCAGCACTTAATCTCTTTCTTTGTTTGTCGTCTGGATGAGGGTTTTCTTTAAACAACCTACAAAGATTTTGTTTTTTTTTTTTTTTTGGTAAAAGGTTAAATACAAATTAAGATTCAATTATAATCACTACTTTTATCAATAGATAAATCTCCAATCATGAGATCTTTATATACAAGAAAAAGAGTGTTCAGTAAAAAAAAAAAAACGTTGTAAACAAAATCAAATCAAATTAATTAAATCAAGATTAAAAAATTGTTCATTTCTAAACAGAAACTAAGACTACGACTAAAAAAAACTTCACCAATTACCTAGCAGAACTAGTTGTTTCAACTTCGATTTAGCTCATATATATTTTTTCTTTTAAATCCAAAAACTTATGAGAATGAAGTGATGAAAGTAAAGATCATATAATGGGGAAAACATAACATACGCTTCCATTTCTTGGATCTGACGATTAGTGTGTCTGTGGTAACGTTTCTTCTTAGCAGGAGGAGGTTGTTCATCGTCTTGAAGTTCATTAACATCAGATTCGTTTCCAAACTTTGGATCTTCTGCTTGCTCACTACCCGACCCGAATGACCCACCTGCCGACCCGTTTTCCATCATTTCCTCTACTGTTCCATCTCCCATCATCATCATCATACTCATCATCCCATGCTCCTCCTTCTACAGTACCATGACTCAAATATCAAAAACTTATAACAGTTCAAGAAATAACAAACAAAAAAGAGAGAGTTAATCAAGAAGAACAAACCGGGATGATGGATGAAAATGAGTTGAAAGGGATGAAATTAAAATTAGGGTTTTGGATTGTTCCCGGAGAAGAAGAAGACGGCAGCAACTGCGAAGCAAATCTCATGTTGTTTGAAGTCATCACATTATCATCTCCCATCGACAACATTACTTTGAATTATTTAAGAAAAAAGTAAAACCAAAGATAGTTAGGTTTTTGCTTTGAAATCAACAAGAAGTAAAAAGACTCAAAAGAAAGAATCAGTGCATGGAAATGCATAAATAATATTTTAATTATAAAATCTTATAAAAAATTAACCTCAAGAATGCAAGAGAAGATGAACAAAACAAAGCATGAAAGAAACGATGTAATTACCAGAGACGACAGCTAGATCGGTTCCTTTGCTCAGAAAAAAATATTTTAAATTAAATACCCACACACAAAAATAAACATAACTGATAATACAAAATATACATTTATTGCTCATGAAATCTTTTCAAAAATTTTAAGAAAAAACAGGTCCAACCAATTATAAAAATTATAAATACACTATCTGAGCATTCATGAGAAGATATGGATTATGTTGAAAAGAAAAAAAAATCAAAAAACCAAAAACGCTCATGAAATAATATGAAAAGAACTAGGGTTTATGTAGTAAGAGATAAAAGAACACAACACAAACCAGATAATGCACTGATTTCTATTTTTATTTCTAGAAAAATCACTATCTTACCTTGTTTAGCTTCAAAGAAAATGAAAGAAAAAAAAAAAACTTAGAATCTCTAAAGAGTTTTTTTTTTTCTTTTCTTTGTGAAGAGAGCTTTCACAGTTTTTTTTTTTTTTTTTTTGGTCTTTCAACTTTGCAATAAATGGAGTGAGTAAATTTCTCATTAAATACTTACCGGACCAGAAGGGTAAACGGCAGACTTCTAACTTTAGGCGTTACTTAACGGAGTGTAACGTATGCTTAAAATAATATAACGCTCGTCTAACTCTTCCGTCAAACTGCACCGTCTTGCCACGTGGAGGTATCTTATTGGGAGTCCGTACGTTACAAACCCTCGAAACCAGCGAGCTCTCTCCCACAAGTCAAAGCTTCTCTTCTCCTTTTGGCTTTTTTTTTCTTACTTTTAAGTCAAAAAATTAAAATATTATTCATCACGCGTTTACCGCGTGCGTGCGTTACACTACATTTATTCTATTTTGTCACTTGTGCCATGCATTATTTTTATTTGCCAAACAAAAAACAAATATCTAATATTATTTTTTATATTAAAAAAAATATTGGACGTTTTCTGAAACTGTAATGAAATGTTTCTAGAACTTCTTTTGTATATTATTTTTTTTCTTAAGTAATGTTATTACTTTTAAACTTATATTAATTTTTTTTAAAGTAACTTTTTTTCATTTCATGATAAGTACTTGATGTTTAGTAAAATGCTAATTTATTTGATACAGCATTGATAGCTATCAGATTTTTTTCTTAAGAAATATTGTTTCCTTTCAAACCTATCAATATATCAGTTATACACTCTAATCCATTTTATAAGAAATATTTTGACATTTAAAAGTTCTAATAATACACTTTGATAGCTATTGGATTTTTTGTTAAGTTCCTATCATTATAATTTTTAAACCTATAAGTAAAATTATTCACTTGATAAAAAAATATATTTCATAAAACGTATGTCCCATGTAAAAAGTAATAATAATATTGTTGATACACCTCAGTTTGTTCAAAAAACAAAAATGTTACACCATTGATAGCTATTAGATTTTTCTTCTTAAGTAATTTTAATACCATTAACACTTATTCAAATTATATTTTAATTTAGTAAAAATAATTTATGGTTAAAAGTAAAAGTGAATAATACAATGACCCAAAAAAATGGTGATGTCTCTTAAGCCAAGAAAAACAATGACACAAAGATTATGTGTGTGGCTTTGTTGTCAACACCGTCTTATAACATGTGTGTCGTCTAGCGAGTTTGCGACAAGAATTCTATGATATAGAATACAAAAAAAACAGTTGAATTTATAAATTCAATAACGTTTTAATCCGGTTATAGATTGTTTTGTCATTGTGTGATCTATTTTTACTTTGGTGTGTAATTGACTTTCACCGCCATCCTACATTGCGATTATGTATCTTAACAACTTTGCGACGAGAATGGAACAATATAAATAAAGAAAAATAATTGTTGAAATTGTAGAACTCTATAACGTTTGAAACTTTGAATACAAACATTTGATTTTTTTTGAATGTTTTTGTCGTTTTGTAATTCACTTTCAATCATCCTACAACGCTTTTAACGACTTTGCGATGAGAATGCACAAAAATAATATAAAATAAAAAATTGTTGATATTATAAAAATTTGATAAAGCTTGAATGTGACTTTATATTACTTTGAATGTTTTTGTCGTTGTATAATTCACTTTTAATCATCCTACAACGTGCATGTCGTTTAACGACTTTACGAGGAGAATGCGGCGGTATAAAGTAAAGAAAAAGAATTGTTAAAATTATAGAATCCATAAAGCTTGAATATGATCATTAGATTCTTTTGAATGTTTTTGTCATTGTCTAATTTATTTTTAGTGTCATCCTATAACGTGTATGTTTTTTATTAACGACAAGAATATAGTGGTATAAAATAAAGAAATATATAATTATTAAAATTATAAAATTCGATGAAGCTTTTTCTTAATGATTTTTGTTGTATAATTGCCTTTCTACTCCGGCTACAATGGGAAAAATATTTGATAAATAAAAGGATTTTTAGTCGCTGATTTTTATCACAAAAACATCCAAAACAATTCCCAAACTTGTTTGATATGAGTTAAATATAATTACAATTTGATTGATTTTTTTACATATTTATTTTATTATTATTTTTCAAATGTAAAACTGAAAAATTGAAATATTATTACTAATATTCTAGTGTGCAACATCCTTATGCCACTTTATTGGTGTCTTACTATATATTTTTTAAGGGGGTGTATCTCAAAGTCACTAATTATTAGTCGTAGTCCGAGGAAAACTACAAACATAAAAACGTAAAACTTCGTGATATAACAAGAAAAATAAATATATTGGTATGAAAATTTTATAAAAGAAACAAAAATATATTATTATAATCAATTTATTTTTATACTCAATAAAAAAAATATCTTATTGTTGTTACACATATTTCTTGATTTACTTGTCGATGCAAATGCAAGGACTAGAAAAAGGATTTTTAGCTTTTTTCCCCAAACTTGCACATAGGATTTCACAAGCAGTTAAGAGATTAGATTGATTTTTCCATGGACAAATACAGTTCCCAAATACACAAGCGAGAGGCACTGGACATGGTTGCCAGCCTTTGCAATCGTCGTTTATTTCACAATTCCTGCTTTCTATTATTTCGACACCTTCAAAAAGTTATCCATTAAAAAAATTAACTAAAAGGAAAAACAAATACATTCAAACCAAACATTTATTGTAGATGTACTAGTATATAAAACTACACATTTATATGAATGTGTAAACTATACAATGATGTATAATACTAATGAAAAAAAGTATAGACTCTAATATAATAGAAATTAAAAAAATTGAATACTCTCATATTTATCTTTAAATCCATTGTCTCATCATGACATGGACACATTTTTTATGTGTGTGTGTATATAAAGTGTTTATTGTAAATATATTTTGACATATGTATATATATATATATATTGTTTCTAGTTACAATGAACTTACACAAGGCAGATACGAGGAACAAGCCAAGGAAGAAAGTTGTTTTGCTTGAGTTCATCTCTTTGCTTTGATACTAACTAGAATCAATTTTTTCTCTGTCTTTTTTCTTGTGAGTATTATAAGACTATAAGGAGGTAATTTATAGTACTTATACCTCTTTTTTCAACAAAATACTTTATTGATACTTTATTGATTAAGAATTAATATAGTCATGATACAATTGATTAAGTATAGTACTTATACTTATCATGGGTTTAGTGAAAAATCCACATGACTTTATATAATAGGATACTTATATCACTATGCATACACAAATTTTGTTAGGAAAATGTCCTGATTATCATCCTCTAATATTTATAATTAATCATGGATTTCATTTTAATGTGTTGCCAAAAAAGAAAAATATAAAAAGATTTTATAATTTTTATGGTTTTCATATAATGAAATATGATTTTTTGTATATATAGAAATTTCAATGATATTTATATAAGAACTATATAAGTATATTATCATATATTTTACATCATTTTCATATTATCTATTCTTTTAGAAAATATAAATTTTTAGAGATTTATATGTTAGATTGTTTTTTTTTTTGGTTGAAAATATTTCGAATTTTGTAGGGTCAAAATATCTTGTAAGAGTTTGGCATCTACCTTAACTTCTTTCAATGTTAGGTTAAGTTAATCCACAACTTTAATTCTATTCAAAAATCAAACATAGTAATTGTGATTTACTATGTTATAAATCAAACATAGTAATTGTGATTTACTATGTTATAAATCAAACATAGTAATTATGTTTTACTAAATCAAACATAGTAATTGTGTTTTACTATACTATAAATAGACTGACATAAAATTTCTAATTTATGTTGCCACGTGGACACAAAACTTTACTTGAATCATGAATCAATGGTTGGTTTGTGATCCAATATGCATGAGCCAACATATATCCAAAACTCCTTCGTCACTACTACGTACGCCTTACACCACTCTTTGGATCTTCATGCATGCTACGATGTATGTGCAGAAGAATTCTCACAAGTTTATTCAAATAAAAATGTATTACTTTATTAATGAAGAGTTGTAATACTTTTTTCAGATTGAAGTTTAACAAGATAATTTCTCATGGATACATATATAATCATTTTAGTCATTCAAATTGTAAGAAGAAGTCGATTTAGCTATCTCGTCGTTGGTGGTAAGAGATTTTGGTTTACAATTGCAAATATGGTTAATACACTGTGGTTGAGGAATATATTGTTTGCACCATATCGCACAATCTTTCCAGTCGTGGCAATGGTTCTCATGATAGCTAATTCCCATTATCACTGATGATGAACCTATATATATACACAAATATACAAAATTTATCAATAACATATATATATATATACCTTCACATCACATGCATGCATGTTATAATTGAAACTTCATATATTTAGCTTAGGTAACGAAGATTACTTCAATGTTTACTTACATGATACAATAAGCAATACAGCAATGAAGAATGCTGAGGCCTTCATGTTGGTTTTTTTTTCTCTCTCTTGTTTGATCAAAAGCTTGTTTTGAGTTTTGCTTGATGAATCAAAAAGAACGTTTGATCACTACAATTTATAGACTTTGAAGCATCAAACAGTATTCTTTGATGCTTTAAATGAAAGTTATTATTCGTTGAATTGAATATATATTATTCTTCTTTTATCATTATTGGGTCAACTTCGTTGAAATTACCTTTATAAATTATAACTTGCCACATAACGTAACAAACTGAAATACAGTGCACGCTATATTGACTATAGTTTCCTTTGGTTTTCTCAAGCTAATATATTGTAATTTATTCATAAGATGACTTTTATATATACATAAAAACGTTAGAATATTCTTACCAAAAAAAAAAAGAACAACGTTTCGAATATATACATAGTGGTGGAAACTTTAGTTTTTGTCTCATCTGGTGGTCGGTGGATAACATTTATATTTTCGAATATTATCCATAGTAACGTTCGAATTTATGTGATATACTAGGATCTAATTTCTTTATAGTCAACGTTGGAATCAGTAAAGGGATTTATTTCCATGCATGTATCGTTTTCACTTATCAAGTTAGCAGTTTTTCTATTGTGTCAACACCTTCGATTACCATGTTCGAACCCTTATCCAAAGCTCTCTATTGCGCTTCCAAATTTGGTCCGGTAATAATTCTGATTATTAGCTCATCAAGTCCAGGCTAGAACATCTCCTACTTCTCACTTCCCAAATGTGTTCATGGTCGTGAATCCGACTCACCATCTTCTCATATGTGGCAATTTGTGTTTCAACTAGTGATATTAATACGGGCGGCCCAAATCTGTTTAGACTCTGCGTATTTAAACCCTCCTTGTTTAACTGGACGCCCACTTAAATCCGTTAAAATAATTTTGGCCGTGTACACACGTTTAGCCCCGTTAAAGTCGAGTGACTGAGTTGTTGTTAGTCTAAAGCATAGCTAAGGACTAAGTACAATAATGTATTGCAGTTGTTAAGGTTGCTTATGTAAGTGAGACTTAGTATAAAGATATATATTTAGAAGTAAGTTGTAGGTCTAAGTAGAAGCATGGGACAAGTCAGCAAGTGTGTGTGGTAAGTATCAAACCACGATGTGTATGTGTGTGAGATGTTGTAAGAAAGCATCTTTGTGATCCGAATAACATAAAATGTAGACAATTAATGTTTTTTTATCTTCTTATTTGTCTCTGTGTTTAGAACAAGAAAAAAAAAACACAAGATAGTAAAGAGAGAAATGTCCCTATGCTTTTTGTTTAAACAAACTCAGAAACATAAGAGTTTAAGAGGGGACCGGAAAGAATGAGGTCAGGAATGCAAGAATTATGCAAGGTACCAATCAAAATCTTGCAGGTTTTGAGTATTTTAAGCAGAATCATTCAAAATAAAACTAATAAAATTTTGTCGTTGTGTAATTCATTTTTAGTGTCATCCTACAACGTTCATGTCTAAATTTAACGACCATGTGATTGTTAAAATTATGGAATTTTAATAACGCTTTTTCTTAATGATTTTATCGTTGTGTAATTCACTTTCTACTCCGACAATAATATAAAAAATTGTTTGAAAAATAAAAGATTTTTAGTTGTTGACATTTATTACAAAAAATTCAGAAAAATTCCAAACTTGATTTATATGAGTTAAATATAATTACAATTTGATTGATTTTTGTGACATATTTTTTAAAGATTATTTTCAGATGTAAATATGAAAAAATCAATATTATTACTAAAAGTCTAGTGAACAACATGCTTGTAACTTTACTGGTGTCTTAATAGATTTTTTGAAAGGGTTGCATCTCAAAGTCACATATTCGGGTCTAATAATTTGTCTCCATCCGAGAAAAACTACAAACCTAAAAACATAAAACTTCATGATATAACAAGAAAAAAAAAATATGAGATTTTTAATAAAAGAAACGAGAATAGATTTTCATAATTATTATATTGATATATTATAGGTTTAACAAATCTTATTGTTACAACGTTACACATATTTCTTGATTTAATCTTTGGTGCAAACGCAAGGAGGCCATTGGTTTAAAGATCTCATCCCCATACGTTTACAAAAGATTGGACAAGGAGCAATGAAAATTTTAGATTGATTTTTCAATGGACAAACGCAGTTGCCAAATACACAAGCGAAAGGCACCGGACATGGTTGCCAGTCTTTGCAATCGTCGTTTATTTCACAATCTTTGCTTTCTATCATTGCGACACCTTCAAAAAGTTATCCATATATAGAAAAATTAATTAAAATGAAATAAAAAAATATATTCAAACCAAACATTTATTGTAGTTGTACAAGTATATAAAACTATTCACATGTATGCATGTTTTAATTGAAACTTCATATAAATAACTAATAATATTTACTTACATGATACAATAACCAATACAGCGATGAAGAATGTTGAGGCCTTCATGTTGATTTTTTTTTTTCTCTCTTGTTTGGTTTTTGTGAAACCTTTACAGCAAAAGTTTGTTTTGAGTTTTGATGTTGATTGATGAATCTTTTGTTCACTATTTTATAGTACAAAAATTCTTTGATGCTTTAAATGAAAGTTGTTATTTTGTTGAACTGAAAAATTTGTTTCTTCTTTTGTTCTTGTGTCAAATTTGTTGAAATGATATTTACAAATCATAACTTACCACATAAAGTACCAAAATTAATATTGTGCATGCTATATTGACTATATAAATTCTTTTTGTTTTGATTATATAAGATATTTGTGTAAAATTTATAAATCCTATGTTATTCAAACATGGATTTTTTTAAAAAAATCATAAAATCCAGTGTTATTGAACTAATAATTTTAAAATCTACCAATTTATAGATTTTATTTTTAATGATTTTGAAAGATTTGAGAGGATTTATTTAGTTAAAAATACAGAAATCCATATCTTATGATTTTAGGTAAGATTTGAAAGGATTTTACAAAAATCATGTGAATTCGCTTAAAATCATCAAAAATTATTTAAAAATCACTTAAAATTCTATTTCAAGAAAACTCAAACCCCCTAATTATTTATTCATAAGATGGCTCATGACTTTATATATATATATAAACGTTTGAATAATGATTTTTTTTTTTTTTAATGTACATACAACATGATACATAGTGGAAACTTTTGTTTTTGTCTCATCTTGTGGAATGTGGTCGATCGGTTGATAAACTTTTGTAATTTCGAATATTATCCATAGAAAAAAAAACATTCGAATTCTAGGATCTAATTTATTTATATAGTCATGTATCTTTTTTCACTTATCAAGTTACCATCATCATTGTTGTCATCCTTATCTAGCTTTTGGAATTTGGAACAATAAATTTGAGGATGATCATTTGCATATTCTGATTTTCGAAAATCTAATAACGTTGAGAAATCAAGTACACTTGACTAAACTCATGAATTAAATCGCAGAATATAAGTTACATAATAAATTCACAGTTCACCTAGTCAATAATAAACTTACAATACCACAAAGTAACTGAACATGAGTTGGTTACTCAGCCCATTGACTCCTATACATTGCTTGGAATGGCTCAGGACTCTTTTCTATCGACTCCTTTGCTTACCATGTTCGAACCCTGTTAATTACAAACTCTTCTGATTTGTGCTTTTAACTTACCTTATTCTGATCGTTGAGCTCCATCGAGTCCAAGCTAAAACATCTAACTCTCCACACCCTATTAGTTTCGGATACAGCTCCCACAAAACAGTCTTTGAACTTTTTCCAAGAGATCCCGAACCAAAGTTAGACCCTTAAACAAATATCTATCCGACTTTAAGGGTCTCCAATCCATTATCCTAATTCCTCGAATTATGAGAAACCTTTGCTTCAATCTTCCTGTTTTATGGAGAGAACGTCTGTTATAAATTACCGTCCTCGCTTCCAGCTTTTAAGCTAAGAATGCAACCAAAATTTCTAACCATTATATTACTTAGGTAGAGTTTCCCATGTAGGCGAGTTCCAAGGTTTTGCAAGCTTTATCAGCGTCACTATATTTATCTACCGTGACTAATCTCTCACTTCCCAAATATGTTCATGGTCGTGATTCCGACTCAGCATCTTCTCGTATGTCGCAATTTGTGTTTCAATTCTTGTCTCTACAATGTCTTTGGCCTATCCTAGCTAGCTATCATTATGTTGCATCTCTAGATGCCTTTATATTTGGTGTTGTAAGCTCTGAATTTGTAGAACTACTTAACTTTGTATTCCAATTTATACAAATGAAAAAAATAATTTGGAAAAGTCATGCATTATATATATATATATATATAGTTATGTTGGATCGTCCGTCTATTATAGTATTATGCAAGGTAACAATAGAAATCACGGAGGTTTTGAGTATCTTACGCAGAATTATTAAAAATGAAAATTAATCAAAAGACTAAAATGTTCACAAAAGAAGTGATTCAATTTAAGCATTCCTCCAAATTTTCTTCACCATTTTCTTGTAATGGAGAAACAACAAGAAGAAAGAAGACAGAAACAAGAACAACAAAAGCAACAAGAGTTTGCAATCCAATGTTTTCTGGAACATATAGGCCCTGTCCTAACAAGTCAGCTTCTTTTGTTCCAAACGTTTGGAGAAAATTTCTTAATGTCATACCAAAGAAAACAAAATATTTCACATATGTATGTATCTCAAGGTTGAGCTGAAGCAACACTTGGAGTAAACTCCTTCGGTGGCTGTGGTTGCAATTGTGATTGTGATTCATTGAGTTTAGAACGTTGTTCTGATTGGTCTAAACCCTTTGGTTTTTCACACAAATGAACAACTTCAGCAACCACTTTCTTCTTCTCCTCTTCTTCTTCCTCAACCAAACCAACTTTTTCTTTTGCCTTTTGTCCAACTTCCTCAGCAGCTTTACTCACTTTGTTAAATGCACCAGTAACCCACGTCGCACCGGTTAAGACATAGCGGTTTTTCATTATAGCAGAGCCAGCATTGTTCACTGTCTGCTCAGCAGCAGCTATTGCTGATTTGGTTTTCTCTGTGACTTGAAACTTCTGATCGACTTCTTTAACTTTTTCGCTCACAACCGTTGTCCCGGTATTGATTTTCTCAGTGAAACCGATTCTTTTGTCGAAAGATGTGACTTTAGCTGAAGCTATTGATGTCAACTGATGCTTCTCATCAAGATTTTTCGCTTTAGCTATCGCATCTTTCCCTAGAACAAACCCTTTTGAAATCATACCACTTACAACATCTTCAGCTTTTCTAAATACCGATACATCTTCACGCGAAGGAGATGATGATTTGTCGCTCGCTTTCGTTGATTCCTGAGAACTTACAATGGAAGCTAAAGCATCAGGAGATAGTTTGTAGTCTGGTGACATTGTGACTGTGACTGATGAATCGACAATCGTTGCTCCCTGAAAACAAAATCGACATTAAAACATAATACAAAATATACTTTGTTTGAATAAGAACGAGAGATGTGAATATTTTTTACTGTGAGGAGAATTGCGGTTTCAGCTCCTTGTAAATCCTTGAATGTGACATATGCTGATTTAGAACCTTCATTCTCACTATAGAAAACCAATCTTTAAGAACATTTTAAAACGAAAATGTTCCAGTCGGAAAAAAAAAAAACATAAACAGACCTTAGAGTCTCAAGGTAAGCAATATCGCCGGAGAAAGAGAAGAACTCCTTGAGATCACGTTCTGTTGTTTCTAGAGAAACGTTGCTAACTTTGACTGTTACCATCTGCAATGAGAATCATACAAACTATGTATTAGACAATGAAAGATTGAAAACAAACAGAGATCATATAATGTTTAAAAACCTTTATTGCTAAAGTTAAACGAATTGGTCAGGTTTTGATTTTTGATCTAACTCATCAAACGTATAAATAAAGAAGCTATGTCCAAAAATAACTAATCTTATTTTACCAAAGAAGTAAATCCCTTAACCCAAAATTAGTGATACTAAACTGCCAAAATTAGCAAATATCAAACATATCTATTAGCATGACCATGAAGCAATCATAATCTTATACATTCGAGACGAGAAGGAAGAATTAAGATATGTAACATATATACTCACCGACATTGCTAAAAACCAGATGAATTTGAAGCTACCCAAATAAGGAAATAACTTTGTTTGTGGATTTGGTGATTGAGGAAATATAAAAGCTGAGTTCAATATAAATACAACTCTGGTACGTGTAACCGTAGAGATTGTTATATTCTCGCCGGAGGAGACTCAACCATTAGATTTAAAGGTCGTGCTTAGAGCTATTTCATTGTCGGGAAATATTCCTAATGAAGTTAATCATTAATCATAACAAAGATATATTTTGTACGTTTTTAATATTAAGACGTGACATAATCACTTTATCCACCACTATTTGTCGTCCACGTGGTGAGAATGAGAACTCCGCAATTCACATAGTAGTAACCTCATCACTGAAATAAAAATTGCTGATAGAGTACCAAACATTTTTATAATTAAACTTTTATCCCCGCTATTTATAAATTAGGTAAATTATAACATTCTCATGATTATATATTTAAAATAAATTAAGAGTAGTGAACCAAATTTAAATGATTTAAAACCGAATTTTACTAAAAAACTAATTTCTGTCATCAATCTGTTTTACATGAATATATCTTTGATTTTTATTCGACATTAGTGTCATTCTCTGACGGAATCGATAGTTTCAACGTCGAAGGAGGATGACGGAAACTTTAGTCTCCTTATATTATACATATATTTTGATGATAGCACGTACTTTGATATATTTTATTTCGATCCAATATTATTTTGTAAGTGATGCAATATTGGATCAGTTAGACTCTTTTTAGTCTAGTAAATTTCTGCATGTTTTCGGACTTTTTCTTGATCATACTTTGTAATGTTTATATCAATAAATCTTGACTTGGGGAAAAAAAAAACTGAGTTTCATGTAACTAAACTTAACCAAACAAATCCAAATAATATTGACTGAAAGTCTGAAACTAAAAGCAAAACCAAAATCTCAACAAACAAAACAGTTAGTTTTGATTTGGTTGAACAAAAGAAAAAAAAACAGAAATTGAGGGTAAATTGAGAAAATATATTAAAACTAAAGGATCAAAAATGAAACAACACAACTTTTTTATTATTTTTTGGGTTGTCAAATTAATAAATCAGTTACTGACGCTTTTTTTCGTCTATCTGTCTCCTCCACGATCGACGCCTTCACCTTTGTTTTTGTTTTTGTTTCTTTTTTTATTCCTCAGCCGATTCAGGAAAATTCCGATAAACAATTTCTTAAAATCCCACCAAGAAGAAGAAGAAGAAGATGAGTTTTCAAGATTTAGAATCCGGAAGAGGAAGATCGACGAGGAAGATCAATGGTGGTCGCCAAGATTCGACGCAAGCCGTAGCTTCCGGAATATTCCAGATCAATACCGGAGTCTCCTCCTTTCAACGACTCGTTAACACTCTCGGCACTCCCAAAGATACCCCCGACCTCCGCGAGAAGCTGTATGTATAAAAAGTTCTCTCCTTTACAAACGAAATGATCCGATTCGATTTCGATTTTGAGAGAAGGGGAAAAAAAAAATTCGATTTTTATTGTTTGTTGTTGTGTTATTAGGCATAAGACGAGATTACATATTGGGCAGCTTGTGAAGGATACTTCAGCTAAACTTAAAGAAGCTAGTGAAACTGATCATCAAAGTGGTGTCAATGTAAATTTGATCAAAATCAAATCTTTCTTTTTTTGTATTTGGTTTTTTTTGTGTGAAGTAGTTTGATGATTTGAGAGTTTGTTTGTGTGTGTGTGTGTAGCCAAGTAAGAAGATTGCAGATGCTAAGCTTGCAAGAGACTTTCAAGCTGTTTTGAAAGAGTTTCAGAAAGCTCAACAAATTGCAGCTGAAAGAGAAACTACTTATGCCCCTTTTGTGCCTCAATCTGCTCTTCCTGCTAGGTAAGTTTATCATCTTGTTTTGTATATTCTGAATCAGTGATTAGAGATCAAAAGCAAAAGGTATTACTTGTTTGTATGGTTTTGATAATCATGTTCCTTGTTTGTCTTGGCTGGGTTCGGTATATATAGCTACACAGCGAGTGAGGTAGATAACATCCCGGAACAGAGGGCACAACTTCAGGAGTCGAAAAGGTAGGTGATACTGTTAAAAAGAACAGACCTTTGACACATCTCTTTCCATTTTTGAGGTGTGACTTAATCCTCCTCCTTGTTTGATTGTTACAGGCAGGAACTTGTATTGCTAGACAACGAGATTGCATTCAATGAAGCTGTGATTGAAGAAAGAGAGCAAGGAATACAAGAAATCCATAATCAAATTGGCGAGGTTAACGAAATTTTCAAAGATCTTGCGGTTCTGGTTAATGATCAAGGAGTTATGATAGGTAAAGAGAATCTAAAAAGCTCAATATGAACATGTCCTCATCAAATCTCCAGGTGTAGAACTCACTTTATTATTTCCGCAGATGATATCGGTACTCACATCGATAACTCCCGTGCTGCAACTTCACAAGGAAAGTCTCAGCTCGCGCAAGCCGCGAAAACACAAAGATCAAACTCATCTCTGGTAAAATTCTCAAACCTTAACAGACAATACATTGAATGAATGGTTTTTAGGAAACTTTACGGATGGAAGATGAGGCAATGCTCTTATGTTTTATCTTGTATACACGCAGACATGCTTGCTCTTGGTGATCTTTGGCATTGTACTCCTGATCGTGATTATCGTACTCGCAGCTTGATTTCAAAAAGCAAGAACAAGTCGTCTGGGTGATTTCATCGATCATAAAGCGTCAATGAGTGAGAACTACTTGGTATATATAACATATTTTGAAGACAACACTTAGAAGTTGGTTTTGTAGTGTGATTTGCTTCGGTTCGGTATGATGGTGGGTCATTGGTTTCTGTAATAGAGTGTCCTGTGTGTGTGGATTTTTTGTTGTGCAAACTTTTCGTTGGAATTGAGAGAAAGTCTGTTCTGTTTGTCTTTTTTCTCCTAATCCGGTTTGATAAAATCAGAATGATCGTGCGAAATTATGGTTTTGGAACAGTTTATATATGCCAATCTGTGCTGAGAGGAAACAAAACGTTTTACTCAATGACTGTAACACAGAAGTTTGAAACCAAAGCTGAATTATGACTGCTTTGAGTTTTTACAAGATTCAACCTTTGAGCTCAAAACTGATGCCATAAGAATTGAAAATGCAGACAAAACTGCAGCTGCGAATGTCAAGCTGGAAACATACTCTGTATGACCCCTGATTCCGGCTGGGATGTCCCAGAAAACAGAGGTGGTTTCAGTCTTCGATCTGCCAATCGACAAAACCGAACACCTTCTCTGTTCATGTTGGTGGTTTTGTGCCTGGCTTGAGCACAAGAACAAGTCTGGCTCTCCAAACTCCACTCTAGAGTATCCACTGTCCCCCAGAGGCTGGAGATGATAGAGATATAAAAATCCAATCTAATCGACAATTCCACATAATCTATAAACAAGATTTGAGATCAAGTGATCATTTACCTGATACCGAGCATGTAAAGGAAGCTTTAAACTGATTTCACCATTTTCATAATCTCTAGTACTGATTTCGACATGAATCTCAACGACAGATCTGTTCGATCTAAACGAAGGCAGCTCAAGATTCGTGTCTCCAAACACAGACACATCACTAAAAACTGCAGAAGAATCAAGATTCCATCAACTTCAAAACAGAGAAAAAATCCAAAACGCATTCATCTTTCTTTCTTGTTAAATCTTTAACCTCTGCGTTCCTGAAGACTCTGAAGCTCAAAAGGATCAGCGAAAACTCCCAAAGGCAACCGTTCAACAATCACAAGCTCATGAAGCTTCAACTCTGAGTAAAGAGGAAGTAATCTGATTGATGTAAGGAGATTACGATGTGAACCTTCACCAGTAACGTTTCTGTATTGTACCAATGAAGTTACAGGAACAATGTTTGGATCTTCAGAAGAAACTTTATCAGAACATTGCTGAAGAAGCAAGAATTTTCGAAACTCTGAATCGTTTAACGAAGTGTGTGTAGTGAAGTAAGAATCCATAATGAAACGATCAGAGATACAAAGTGAACGAATCTGATCGAAATCTCCATAACTTGTTCCAACCTAAAGCATTCAAAACATTTCGTAGATCAAAAACCCTAAATCTATGATTGTGCTGATTTGAATTCAGGTTCTCGCAAAATAAAGAGTAAGATCTCTAACCTGATCTGATGAGGTAGAAGAAATGGCGAAGCAGATGAAGATTAGGGTTAATACCGATCTCCGTTGTTGACTAGCCATTTTGATTTCAGCTTCAAATCTCTAATCGGATTCCAGAAATCTTACTACAGTTTTGATTCCTCTTCATCGATTAACACAGAGACCATTCTTTCCGGTGAAGGTACTCTCGCCGGAGATCATTTGGATGAGTTGCAGATTAAAACAAAGCCCACCACGGCCTGGTTTAGCTGGTTTAATATGGGCCTGTAAAGCCCATTAGTATCAAAAGCTCTCGTTTCCGTTTTTATGTAGTTTTCAAGTTTTTGTAATATCGAATCATGGATTAAACTGAAACAAATCGTATAAGATACTCATACTATAAAAAATTAAATGATTAAATAAAGAAAAAAAAAACGATAGGACTAAAGGAAATAAAGAGAAAAGAGAAAATAATAATACTAGAATGACACTAAAGAAAAGTGTCTTTACTTATAAAAGAATGAAAAAATATATAAAGTGAAAGCGAAAGAGCCCACGAACAAAGAAGAGTTATGATGGAAAAAAAAAACATTCAAATCTAGATTTTGTAAAAAGAAGAATCGAATTTTTCAGCTTTATAGACTTTGAAATTGAATTATCTTTGTTAAAAAACATAATTACTCACGCTCATGAGTGTGTTTATAGTGTGTCTATGATAAAATATATTCTCTTCGTTCGTTAAAGGCTTATTCATAGTTTCATACTATTTCTCTATTTATATACATATTGCTAAGAACGTTAATAAAATGGAGATAAGAAACATTACAAATGAACACTACTTAAAGTAGAGAAATCTTGGCAAAGAGAAATAAAAACAAGATTTAAATTCGAAAATGGATAAAATTATAATACTATATAAGGTATAGTAATATTTTTGATATTAATTTGGTTACTTCAAAAAAAATTAACATATATATTTGCATTGATAGATCATAGATCTGTGCCATACCAAACTTCGGGGTCGAAGTCGAAGCCAATATTAATTATCATATAGAAAAAGTGCTTTTGGTTTAGTGGTTTCTACACGAGAAAAGAGTTGTCTTAATAGTCGATGCTAATGTTTGATTTCCTTCAAGCGCGAAACACTAATCATATCAATTTGGTTACATACTTTCACTTAATCTTTTCCGAATCTTGGAGAATTACGGAAAACAAAATATATATATATATATATACATATAACCTGTTTTCAGTGTTCATTTTTCGTTGAGTTTCACGTTTACACTTAGAATTGTTAATTACGTTCGAATAATCACAATAACACACAAATATAAACAAGCTAAGATCTAAAGGATATATCATTTTGATTTGTCCAACGCTAAAGTTCTGGATTGGGATGAAAAATGTGAGTAGGTCCTTTATGCTGATGAAGATGATTGATCAATGGCCCATTCACTCTTTTCTTTTATAAAATTCTCTTCATGTACTACGAAAAATCCATAGAGAAATTCTCCAATATATAACTACTTAATTAAAAAGTATATCTCAGCAGGTTAATTTGCACCTTATGTAATCTTTATTACCCTTTAACAAGAAGAATCTTTACTTTGATTGCATCTTACAATAACAACAGTTTGCAATTATGTCTTGGAGTTTTAAGGTTTAACCAAATGTACAATATCTTAGACTATGAATTAGGAAGAGATATTACAATCTATACTATTAATTGGGAAGGACAACTTGAAGCCAAGCACCCCCAATTTAAAAAAAAAAATTTCATGAAATATATTCCAATTGCCAAACAGAATTAATGACAGCAAAAAAAAAAAAACAAAAACAAAAATTATCTATATTTATGGAAAGAAAAAATTGCACAATAACCTACTTTTACTCAAACTATTAACCAAAAAACCCACTTCTTGTTACCTCTATACTTTCCACTATGAAAATGACTATTAACCCCTTCAAAATCTTTAACTCTTTTCTTTCCTCTCATTTATCTAATTTCTTCAAAAGCTTTTATCTATTTCTCTCTCTTTTTCTAGAGTCATTCTCGTGGTTTTCTATTAGCTTTATTATCTTCTTTCTTTAGCTTCTCTCTCTTTTCTTTTACTAGTATCTTAATCAAGCAAAACAGAGGGATTTTGCTCTTTTCTATTGTTTCACTTTTTCTTCAAAGTTTTAATTTATTTTCCTGTGTTTTATGAATCGTTTTCTTTTGCTATGAGAGAAAATGTTTCTTTTTTTAATTTCGTTTACTTCAAAATTTTGAAGATTTTTTGCGTTAAAAAAACCATAGAGAGAGAGATAGAAAGAAAGATTTAAACTTTCAAGTGAATTTTTAGGGTTTCTCAAATGGGGGAAATAGCAATCATATGGTTCAACAGAGACAATTTCATATCAAAAGTAATCATAATACTAGTATGTATCAAGTTGACGAAAAATCTTCATTATGGGTTAAGCCTGGGAGACGGAGAGAGATACAATAAGCCGTTACTTTGAACAGTTTGGTGACAATAATTGTTCTTTGGGAGACACATAGAGAATCAGTTTCACGAGAATTGACTTCTACATGAGAATTGTTGAACTTCATGGACAACAAAAATGTTAGAACATGTGGACATTGCCTCGTGGACACTAATAACACACCAAAGTCACCTCGACACAACAACCATATTGTAGAGAAAGACAAACACTATACTGGTATAAGGAGAAAAAGATACTTCACGTGGATGAGATTTTGCTATGCAATTGCTCTATTTAGTATCAACCAGATGACTCGGAAATCCATATGGACATGATTGTATGGATTATAACTAACTAACAATTCAACATCAACAAAGAAATAACAATGCATAAGTTTAGATTTTAGTGTTTATGGTTTAGGATTTAGTGGTTACATTTAGGATTTAAGGTTTAAGGACATGTTGTGTACATGTTTTAGCAATTGTAAAGCAATTTCTTACTTCAACGATGCCTCTCCTTCTACCTTTTTGAAATAATTTATTTACTTTCACTCTAGATTCGTTTTCATCTTCCAATGTTTTTTTGTTAGCTTAATTTTCATATTCCATTGTTTCTCTTTTCACCTAGATACCTTGACCACATATATCCATGTGGTTACAATAGTGTGGATATGCTTGGATGTTCATTAAAATATTTTGGAGGTTAGAATGTAGTGTGTGATTTATGCTTTTGGTTTTAGAGTTAAATTAAATTGGATAAGAGTTAAGGTTTGAGATTCATGGTTTATGTTTAGAGTTTAGTGTTAAAGATTAGATTTTAAGGTTTAGGGTTTATAGCTAGTTAAAGGTATATGATTTAGGATTTAGGGTTTAGGTTCCCTCGTTGCAGCTTCAAATCCATAGGAAGCTATTGAGTTGATAAGAGTTAAGAATTTCATGTTTTGGAATTGGGATTTAAAGTTTATGGTTTAGAGGTTAGGGTATACGGTTTGAGGTTTAGGGGTTAAGATGTTTGTTTGATATTTATTTATGATTTTTTTACCAAATCACAAATTTTTTCATGACATAAGTTTTACTATGTTTTTATATTACTAAACACATAGTAATTATAAATACAAATAGAATAATACATAAACAATACTGTAACTGATCATCCACTTATCATTGAACATATGTACAACTACAAATGGATAGTATGTAATATAATAATAAATCTAAAATATGGCAATATGTATCTTGAAATGTAAAGAAAAATATAAACACAACATATTGTATAAAAAAATAGTTAGATAACTTTTGACAATAACAAGCTAAAATGAAAACAATAAAAACAAGACAGGTAAAAAGTGAGAGAGAAGAAGAGAGAAAGATAGAAGAAACGATTTAAAAACAAAAGAACTCAGCTTTTCTTTGTTTTGTTCTCTACTACTTCAAGGGCAAAAATGTCTAAAATAATTTTCAATAATATGAAAGTTACAGAAAAAGTACACCTATAGCTAAAAGTATGTTATTTGACAAATTTATATCCACAAAGTAGGTTATTGTGTGATTCACTCTTATGGAAATCATAATAATATTTTACCATAAAAAGTGGACAATTAAATTCCAAATTAAATATATGTAAACATATCTATTTTGAATATAAATAAACATATTTAATATTAGTTTAATATTTTAATATACTTTCGAAATTAATAATTTATATAGAATGAAATCTAATAAAACAAAATCATCATATATCTAAAAAACAAAAATAACATTTTTTAGAAAAATAAAACGATAAAAAAAATATGTTAGCATATGAAATAATCAACTAATCAAATTCTACATACTATATATACATAACTGATCATATCATCAAATTTTAAAAATTATTTAATTTTAAAATATAAATAAAATTTAAATAAATTAATAATTAAATATTTTTTTGCTAAAATCATGCGAATAAACATTCTAGATCACATAAATTTCTTATTTTCACATAAAAATATTCATATTCAAAAAGCAATCTAGCAATTGTAGCACAAATGATATCTACAAAACTTATCATTAATTCAATTAGTTAATGATTTTTATTTGGTCAAACAGTTAGTTAATGATTATTCTAAACTTCTTTTTCTTATTAATTTCACACAATCTTAACAAAATAAATCTTCATCCATGGCAATTTGCATATCATTACTATTATCAAATATTAAATAATTGTTTTATCAAATCATAAACTACATTTTGAGATTATAAACATATAGAATTTCTGTTAAGATTAAAACTAAATAACAAGTGGATATATCAGATTTAAATGATTTTAACGACTTATTACCAATTTTTAAATAATAAATGGATTATATTTTATGATTTAATCTAATTGAAAACAAATAAAATGTCAAATTGGGATGATATAAATGATATAATAAATAAATATCTACAAACATTATCTCACATATACGTACAATTTTAAACTATCCTTGACAAATATGATATATAAGTTTTGGATAACCGGTTGAAATAAAAAAAATTGGTAGTTATTTTTAATTCTCAAAATCTCAAAATATTGAACAAAATTCAACTTCGGACGTATAAATCTCTACTTTTGGACGATTATATGAAATTTCACATATATTAAAACTATATTTAGATACATGTAAATGGTGTTATTTATTAAAAAACAAAACTTATAGGAATGGATATGAGACGGGAACATATAATTTGGAAACAAACATTATCTTAATTATTTCTCATAAAAAACAAAACATGAT